AAAAGGAACAAGAGTGAATATCGCCATTTAATACCAAGGAAGATAAGATACAGAATTTTGAAACTCGTCAAAAAAGTATATATGAAATAGTAGAGGGCTTCACTGGACAGTTCTTCAAAAGCAGTAAAAACAAATACCAACAGAAAAACTATAATCTCAACCTCAATTCTGGCACTGATGTCATTTCTATAATTTACTCTGAAAGTGGACAAAGAGTTCGAAATATGCAGAAATCGAGAAAAAATGCAGTTGTGTCGTAGTATCTAGATTGAAAATGTCCAAATATGAGTTCAGACTCCTAATGAATGTATATGCCTATAAGGTGTTATGTGAAAGGCATTGGCTCACAGTTACTGGTAACCGATTGGCTAATGACCATATTAAAGGAAATGAGGTCATGTTAGTTAGGCATTTACTGGGTGTAGCTAAACAACAAATCCCAATGCGTGTGACCTAATTGTGCTTAATTGTCTACACGAACCAAACGACAAATATATATCTTCTGGACACCCAGGTGGTAGCGTGTCAACTATTGATTAGTACAGTGTACATAATAAGTCTTATTTGATTATTCAAAAGGGGAAATACTTTCAAGCTGAGTCCACCAGGTATCAATTACATGAAGAGTGCTACATTATGAGAATTGTCTATTCACTTATTGATAATGAAGACGTTATTTCATCGCTGTCTGTACGACTCCGCTGTAGTTAGGTTCTAATGTTGTTGTGATCGCCATGCTATAGAATCGCATTAACGCGTCTTATAATAAGAAGACCAAAGGGATTGTATCATTCACCAGTCACTTATCTGTGTGCTAAACACAACTGGGACATTCGAAGTAAATGAAGATACTTAACTCATTCGACCTTCAAGTAGGTAAAGGTTGATTATGTCTGAACACTATTTACATATCAGGTAGGTTCAAACTCACACGGGACGAAGCTGTATTGGGTCCTTCTCACTATGTCCTAAATTAACATCATGCGGATCAAAGGTTTTGAATGTTCGCAATACTTGTAATCGATTAAATTACTTAATCTTTGGAAGGAAAACGTTAACGAATTACGACCTTTTGAAAATAATTCGATGGACAAAGCAATGTCTATATATGAATATTAACACTTGTATGCAGTGTATGGATGAGAGAAATCCACACAAATGTTTGCATTTATCGATAAATAAATTAAAATGTGGCAATAACTTATTGTAAATCACCTTAAATTATTTACGAAAAAGCAAATGAAATATTAAGTTATATATTTGCATTTTTTACTAATTTGTGGCGCCAACTACAATTTAAATATAAAACTCATTTCGATGTATATACATAGGATATATTACAGTCATTAATTACAATAGTTGTAACATTCAAACACGTACATTAACTACCTGGAAGGTTATAAATGAAATGATAATCCTTGGGGACACTCGGTGGATAGTTTCAGGTGATGATAGAGTTATGTAAGTCATACGTTTGAATTACACTACAGTATCGACAGTTTTGTAACCGTTTCCAATGCATCATGTAACGTTAGGTGTAGAAGTCTACTCTCCAGGGAATAGGCAGGAAACTTTACACCTTGACACTACCCTTAATCACTTTGATGGTGTCACTAATTCATTAATGTGTCTTCACTAACGCAAACTGGTGTCAGTGTAGTGTTCCAACTCCAATATCGTGATGGAATATAAAACACCTGTCATATATCATGCATTTATTCAAATTTCATAAATAATCCAGACGCTCTGGTTTCACACATTCGAAGCACAATTTGTAATAGTACTGTGTGAAAACAAATATATAACAAAACAATTAACTTCGGTGTATGTTATAAATACACTGTTTCAGCACCTATATACTTTTATAAATAAGATTTATGCAAAAGATATTTTTAGTTGGGTTTTTACGTATATTTGATATTTTAAGAAGACACATACATTTTAAAAATTACACAGGATACCTTTTCGAGAATATTTTACACATTCACGCTTATTTGATAAATGAAGATCAATGAAAATTGTGCGCATAATTCTGAACCGTTCGTTGGTAAATTCCCCGTTTTTTAAGTGATATGGGTTTGATACAACAGCATTTTTGACGGATAGTCACAGAAACGACGCAAGCATCATAAAACACATTAGAATAGTCTATCCCTATTTATTTATTTGATTGTACAATGACATCTTCTTTTGCTTGACCAGATAATGTAATGCAAAACCAAGGTGTTCAAGCAGTTTTCCGAACATTTCGTTCCGTGGTACAATACAAAGAAAAATACCAAAACACACTAAAAAACCAAAATGAGTTGAACAATGCATGTTATCAGGGATGTATATTAGTCGAAACAATTTATATTTGTGGTCTATCAGTAACTATGCTGAAACAACCACTTCATGTATTTTTCATATAAAATTGAGGACTTGACAAGTGAAAATGTATACAAACTCTGCGGGAAGTAACGAGAAGTGTGTCTGACGGAATTGCGACACTATTGGAAGTGGCTTACGGTTCTCTGGATTTCCAACATATCGATTTTCCCCGATACTAATAAGTCCTGATGCAGATCGAATAGATGTTGTGTCTATATACTAACTTCATCTTCTTCATACCACATCAGACGACAGACCTCTGAAGTGTCGGAATCTTTAATCCTTTCTTTGTTTAATGTTTATCAGGAAGTTTCATAACTTTGCACCGAATCAGCATTGGTATTGGCAAAGTTGCATTAAAATATCAGAAAATATCTAGCTTTAAATATCTCAGTTTCAGAAGAAGTCTAGCTGAAGCAACTGTATTAATTGAATAACCTTAAACACCTACACTACATAAGTATCTAATAGGCATGTATGTTCGGCAAAGAGAAAGTAGTAAGTGTCACTCAAAAAGTAACTCGGTAAAAACAAGTTAGAAATTTAACTGATTGGGTATTACAACGTGACACGGACGACACCCTGACTGACAACAGTACCAACAAGACAAAATATTACCAATGCTTTACGAAACATTTGGGTGTATACCTCTCGGAGAAAGCGCTAACCAAACAATAACCATGTAAATTATCGTTGCTATCAAGTAATGAAGAAGAAACAAGGCAGTCTGTTTAATCAGTTATGTATGCGAATCGGTCAAGAGAGAATCACACTAGGGGCTGATGTTATAGAAAATTGAGTAATGAAACAGAAGTGCCCAGCCTCATTTACCCTGCATATGAAAGTATTCATCACATAGATCTGATGTTTTTCTCTGTGTGTGTCCCGAATTTGTTTCAAATGAAAGTATTTCACGGAGTCATTACACGGGATACAAACCAATTAAGATACACACCAAGAATGGAAAATTATTGAGCAAAAACCAATTAACCAATCACGACTGATTAGTCCTATCCAATTCTCGTAAATATGCATGCAGCATGCTGTCGGTCAAATGGTGAATTCTGTGATTTCTTGAAATCAAAGCATTCAAAACCACATACGAATCAAGTAATGGAAAGCAAAATATCTTGTATAAAGCCTTGCATCAAGAATCTTTAAGAAGCAATAAATATTCCGCGAAATATTTTATTTTTATCCTGAGGTACCGATAAGACTTCTCAAACTACCAATGTAACATATTAATAAAATCAAGGAAAAACCAATATTTTCATTCTCAGGATAATTAATATTTTCGCCGCTGCAAATGAAAGAGTTTACATATCAACCCTTTCAGTTACAATGCCAGTTACATTATCCCTTTATATGACCTTGAATTTTCCTAGACAAGTGCGAATCCCTGGAAATGGCCCGTAGTCTAAATATATATGTATATATTGGTTAAGTAAAAACATTAAAGCAATACCTCGATTTTAACCAATCGTGTGCCTTAACAATTCTGGAACTTCATCGCGGGTAGTATAAAGAATGGTTGCAAAGTAAGGGCCATTAAATCATATTGTATTGACACAGCACAAAGTGTAAAATGGAGGCATGTGAGGATGAGCGCTTGCAAATGGAAGTGACTCCTTTAAAAATGGCTGAAATGCAAACTTACACGAGGGACACAACACAATTAGGTGCTAGTCCTTCACACGAAATTAAAAAAAAAAAAACCATATAAATACATCCAGACAAAATCTGTCTCATTTTTCACAAACTCTTTCAAAATAGGATAAATGTAAAATACATCTTAGGGACACCTTTCTTTATGGTACTGTCACTTTACACCAAATGTGAAAGAAGTTCCAACGAAAAATAAGCAAGTCCATTGACGGGGAAAATGGAGTTCATTCTTCTTAAAAAAGGGACATTAATCTTTAAAATAGGTCGACACGAAAAATAGTATTGGCGCTTCACAAGAAATTGGGAAGAAACAAAAAAATCGACTGAAAACTGAGTAAGTAAATGCATTAAAATATTGTGTAAATTTGTAACGTATCTTTCTGTAGAATAACAAAATAACTCATACGATGATTTCGAACACGTTGTTTAATAAATACTCCGAAAGAATGCTTACGTAAATTCCAGACAATGTAACTTCAACAATATATTCTTATTAACTTCTGTTTAAGATACAATATCTGGAAAAAAATGGACTTAATCCAAGTAGTGCAATGATAAAATCATTCTTTACTAGAACAATACATTACACAATTTTTTTTTCTAAACATGATATCATCAGCAAATAAATGACACGTTTGCCGTCACAATTGATTGCTTATAACATCTAATAAGAGAATGCAATGTATATTTTCTTGTCCTAGCAGTCAGGTAACATCACAAAAACAGTCTTTCTATCATGGAATATAGTTTCAAAGTTTATGAGATGAATCCTCTGTTAGAAATATATTTTACATATTCAAGAGCCTTGGAAATAGTAAAACATAAGAGCATATAGATAATTGACGTATTTTACATTTATCGATTCTTGGTTTGCATACTATTGACTCTTACTCAATGTCTTACATATTATTGACTCATACTCAATGTCTTACATGCAATTGACTCATACTCAATGTCTTACATGCAATTGACTCATACTCAATGTCTTATATGCTATTGACTCATACTCAATGTCTTACATGCTATTGACTTATACTAAATGTATTTTGTGTATATTAAATAATGAGAGTACAAAAATATAAATACGTAAGATGATAAACAAGTACAAAACCATTGTTTTCTTCTTTAGTCACCAAAATGTCACAAATGTTCCGATGTCAAATAACTTAATATATACAGGAAAACATCTATAATGTTTTCTTTGCTCATTGCTGCCCATGTAGATTATTCAATCATATTAGGTCAATGGGGATTTAATGTTCGGGGCTACATATATTGAATAAATGATTTTCAATTGGCGTATGTTCTTTATAACGGATAAGTGCAGCATATTGATATTCATCATTTTTTATATCTCTGATCACACAGCACGTAATCAAATCTTAATTCTGTATGAGCTTTGTCTAACACGAAATATGAGTGCCGTTAGGGACAGAATAACTATACCATACTTGAAACTGTGGCAAAAATCGACTTAATATACAGTAGAATTTACCGTTATTGTAAAGGAAACCGACATCAGTAGTATCGAACCAAAAATTCTTACGATGTCGACTAAAATGTAACTGGTATACTCACGTAACATGTCCTGCAAGACGTTCGAAAGGTGCAGCAGGTTTTGGACAACAATGTGCCAGATTTTCATTAAAGCTTACATAACATTTATATTGAAAAAACAAATTGATTTGTAGAGTTGTTTACATTGCAAACCACAGTACAATGTAACAACAGAAAAGCCTTATCTTTTTCCTGTCTGACTAATAAACATGAAAACAAAACGAGGAGTAAAAATGTTTACATTGTACATCACTGATATAAGATAAAAACTCCATCTGTTTCTTTTCTGACTACATTATAATTTTGAATTTCTATTTGATTTTAAAAAGGAATTGGAGTGCAGTATCATTATACCGTTATGTTAAAGTACCGTACGTCTGATATCCATGTCCTCACTTAAACACATATTTGCTGACACTTGGCTGGGATATAAATAAAAATAAAAAATATAACAACGTCCATTTTTATGTAATCTAACTTCATAATATCTGTTAATTGCAAAGTCTGATATCAGGCTATTCTGCCAACAACACCTTACTTAAAGACCGTTTTTTTACAAAGCATGTAGCTTTTACAATACAACGATACACCAGAGAGCAGATCACTGCAGATGTGTAGGAAATGTCTGGTGCCTGCATTAGTAAGTCCTCTTCCCCTACAGCACCGACGTTGAGAGTACACAGCGCCGTTACTTTGAGAATAGGCTCAGCTGTATGAGAGGGATCACCTGCAGCGTTGTCAAATCAGCGAGCACTGCCTGTCAACATCAAATGGAATCAAAGAACGTTATTTTTTACCGTGTGAATATAATAAATCAATATGACGTTCAGTTTAGGTTTCAGTGGTGAACCAGATTAACAGTATCAATATCAATGATGAAAGAAAGCTTTCACATGCGAAATATGCACGACCAAATGACATGAAAATGTAAACTTACTCTCTTATCAGAATTGCCGTTACTCTTAATCGGTCCTGCATTTAAGGACAACATTACCATTGTTTGCACACCTGTTACATATCACCTGGCTAAGTAAACGAACTGATTTTAATACACAAAACATTTGATTCTCTTTATATGATTTACAAAATCTATAGCAATACAGCAAGGAAAAAGAGAAATTCATTGAAGATACACAAAGCCGCAAGCAAGCGACCACAGACATAGATGGAGAACAATGAAACGAAATAAAAGATGCCAGAACTCTCCATTTTTTTTTATTATGATATAACCATGTTTGAACTTATCTCAAAGAGTCAATTTTGCTTTATATAAACTGCTTTTAACCTAATATCAAACGCACAAAAAATAATTAAACAGGCGTTTAATTTACGTTTGTGCAAACTAAGAAAATACACAGAAAAGTTCAAAAATAAGTCCTGAAGGCAAAATCATAAAGATAGATAAGTTAGCGTGTTTGACAGGAGCAATCGTTATTACTAAACGTAAGCTTAACAGAAATTGCTATTTAAACAAGTAATCAGACAGATACAAACTTTAATGATCTGTACAAACCTTCAAAATCAACGAGAAAGTTACATAATGACTTTAAGGATGTACTTTCACTGAAGTATTTTTAATTTTTCAATTTATTTATTGAGCATGTACAGTTTTGTTATATTCTGTAAATTACCAAACGAGCTTTTGATAGTCCTGCTATACTTTTGATTTTGTACATTTTTGGTGTATATCATTCTTGATCGAAATGAGATTGGATCAAATTGTTCAGTATATGTTTTTTGCAACATTAACAATGTAGATCCAAGATGGTCTTCTGTCGCTCATGTTGTTTTTCTAATCAGTCACAAAATAAAATTAACACAATTAGGTACAAATGGGAACCTATATAGGAAATTTGAGACCGATCAATATTGTATTTCTTAGAAAATAGAGATAACAAACTTTAAATATGAAAATCCAAGATGGCCACCAGTCGGTCGTTCTCAAGAAATAGTGATAGCAAACTTTCAAAGTCAAAATTCAAGATGGCCACCGGTCGGCCATTTTTTTCTGATCTTACCTTACCTAAAGTCTAATGGGCACATCTAAGGACCAATGGGAACCTACAAATGACATTAGAGAGAGATCTATTTAGTACTTTTCAAGAAATAGCGACAACAAACTTCATTGAAAAATTCCAAAACGGCCGCCTGTCAGCCATTTTGTTTTTCTGATAAGTCCCTAAATCAAATGGACACAACTAGGGAGTATGGGGATTCTATGTCTGAAATTTGAGAAAGATCCGTCTAGCAAAAAATGTTTATGGAAGGACGGATGACGGAACACAGACGTAGGTCTTGGCTAAAATTGCTTCGCTGAGGCACAGATTGGGTCCCGATGCGGAAGAAAACAGTCTAGCAGAAGCATTTTGGAAAACAAAATTTTGGAAAACAAACTTGAAACATGTTTGTTTGTTTACTGTGGATATAAAGTTTAAAAAAAACAATAATTAGAAGGAAAAGACAGTTAAGAATAAAAGGCACCTAAGTACCAAGGAACAGAAATGGACATGCTTAAAATGAATTCATCCTAATTCTAAATACTTCATACACAGTATCTCGGTGAAAGTACATGTATATGAAGTTTCATTTTTTCTCTCTTTGCAAATATCACAGATGATGGGGAAGCTAGTGAAATTCAAAGTGCATTTTATAGATATCTGATGAACAATCGTGATTGAAAGGTGTCAGAAAATTGTTAAACGTTGTAGTAATGAAAAAGCAAGACTGATACCTGTATTAATGAACTGATGAACTTACAGTACCTGCATCATGTCAAAAATTAATAACGCTAATTCTGATAAGACAGACCTCTCATAATAAAACAAGCTCTATAAAGTTGCATAATGTCCATTCCAAGAGTCTTGTATTCAAAGTGTGTATTTCTACTGCGATGCGGATGGAAGTTGTCAACAACGAAAATTTATGATAGCGGAATCAATTTTTCACAGCATTCATTTCAAGTTTAATATTGTGATTTGTTAATTTAATTCATCCTCAACGTCTCTATCAGATTTGTTTACTCTATGCTCCCTGTCCTTGTACAATTCGGGTGTAACATTAGATATTCATGGCTCCTGAGAAAATAGTTGATATTTTTTTTTCTTCTTGCTAAAGCTTTTAATAGGTGAAATGTCATTATTCTAAATCTTATAGGTTTGTATTTATCGATTGGAGTATAGCACATTCCAACTTAAAACTTCTCAATATTTGTATTTTCACCGATAGTTCTCAAAATGAAAAAAAAACTGCTTATAAAAATTTGAAAACTGTGACGACTTTTAATAGTAAGGGCAGAGTACCAGGAAGATGTCTTAATACACAGGTCAATAGGCGCACAGAGTGCTTTCACTTGATTTATTTGAACTTCATTGTGTAATAAACTGATACTGTCAAAATGGAAATCAACCCTCCCACAGAAATCGGGGCATTTTATGAACAGAAAGCATCATTCAACAGCTCAAGTGAAACAAAAGTGTTGATTTAATTAAGGATTGAGAAAAGAAGAAAAAATGTATTTGGCTTAGAAGATTGAACTTTTCTCTATCATATATCTTACGACATCAAGACGCAGTGCTTGTGTCAGACTTTATTCAATCTATAGCAGCCTATAAACCGATAACCAAGCACATAGAAGAATTTCTTCAGATATTCTCAGTGAGAGAAATGGGTAACGTTACCAATATGAACAACGACACATCTTGGCGGACGAATTGAAATTTCGCAGTCGGCAAGGAAATAGATTAAGAAGGAAAATGAAGTAATTTTCGAAACGAAATCACAACAAAATGAACTCCCAGTGTAAGTTAATTCTAGATGAGTTTTAATTTACATTACTAACAAGGGTTACAAAAGGAACAACACGTGATTTCGTTATATATCGCTGACGAAATTAGACAGGTAGGTTTGAGGAATATGAACGCGAACACACAACACTATAATAACAAATAAGATTATGTCCATCAACATTTAATTAAACGTGAAAACACGAGACATTATTTGTTTCTTACTTTTGGTGATTTATCTCTTAAGCCCATTTTTGGGATCCTTTGAAGAACATTCAAATCATTGATTAATGACACTTAGAACATAACGTATTAAGCATGATTCGTCTGAGAATCCCACTTTTTCCTTAAATGTGTTCAAAGCAAAGAACTGTTTAAGATGTTTCGCTTTAAAAAAAGGTTTAATAGTGGATATGTATTTTTTTCTGTTTTCGAATATTTGGAACACAACTGGTTAATATTGGTGTTTGACCTTAAAGTATCTTATTCTTTTAATCAGATTTTCATGTTCGCGGAATTTGTAAATTTTTTTATAAGAAATATGACATATAACTGGTTTTATCTGGAGCACCTAGATACAAAAATGTCTTCATTATTATCATCTCATTTTTAAGACACAAATAAATACCATATTTTACGGAATGTGAAAATTGGAAATGACCCACTTGAGGTTGGGAGTAAGGGGGTAAGCGTACATGCCTATCATATTCATTATAATGTTGTGCAAATGTATCTAATTTTCTGCACTAAAACATTAGAAAAACCGATATATCAATGAAGAACAGTAGAGCTTCAGAGACCTACACCGTACAGAGAGCCAATTTTGGGGCTTTAGAATTTTTATAAATTGCAAAAGGCGTATGAAATTGATATAGTGATATTGTTCACTTACATTAAAACCGTCAATTTTCATCGATGTAACGGCGTTACAACAAATCAATCAATACAGAACAGCCTAGAATCGAGGTCATAATTTTAGATCTAAATATAATGGTAAAAAATCAAGATTTAGAAATTTATTTTCCAGTAATATATATCATTAAGCAATTAACAAGAGTATCAGTGACACTAAGGAATGCTCCACGTAAACGACCTTATTGGGCACAAAATCTAAGGGCAATAATTCTGTAAATTAAGTTGCAAGCTTTGAATTTGGTATACTGCACATTTTCTTCGTATGACCCAGCGTTACTTAAAGTTTCAATAACTACTAAAGTATGCTATTCTCCTTATCGAGATATATCTGCCTGTGAAGTTTCAAGTTAATAACTCTTGTAGCTTTTGTGATATGACCCAGAACACATGCTGACATGTTGGTGAACTTTGATGCTTAATTATCAATTACCCATCTACGACCTCAATGTACTCTCCAAAAAGGAAGGTTTTCTCCATACACAGTTTATCATCATCTAAACTTAGCTAATTCCGTAAATGAGAAAATAATTCCTTTATGAGCTGGTTTACTGTTGTTTTTCACTCTCTGTTGAACAATATTTGAAATAAGTAAAACCTATGGACGATGTGTTTCGATTTGTTTTCATCCTGCTACTTCATATTTTCTTCGTGAAAACAGAAATGTAAGGATGCTTTTCGAAAAATGTCAAGCATACATGCGTTTTACCAGCATCGAGCTCAAATGATCATTGCACACTCGTGTAACATACATAAGTTAAAAAAAAAAACACCGCCAGAACCAACAAGTCTAAATCAAGCTACACTTCCGAACTATGACGGAAACACAAAAGTAATAAAAATAATCAAAAACCTAACAATGGTTCGTTGTTCGTCTCTCTATCAAGATATGAGAAGTTTTGAAGTGGAAAATGTGTGTTTATCCTAATGGATCACTACCGTTTTGTAAATAAACTTCTAATTCCACATTAGATAACTCCAACAGAAATATAAAAACAAAAGTGATTCTCCGATACATGTTTTAAGAGAGACTTGTACTATAAACTGTGGACATTCAAACAGTTATTGCTTTTTACTGATGAGAGATGAAGCTTTTGTATCACATATGGTGCTCTCAGACTCCTTAGTCTTAAAAAAATTATTAACCTTGAAACAAATCCAACATTTTGTTTAGTAGACGTTCCCTCGTTGATTGATCTTTCTAAGAATAGTTTTATAATAATTATATATAAGCTTAGATCACCATCACAGACGAAATATATTACCTTTTAGATTTTTTTTTTCAAATATGTCCTTATCTTTAAATAAACCGAAAGGTTTGGGACTTCCAATTCTTACCTCTGCAGCATTGTATGACTGTACTTTCATCAGATTTGTTTTCCTGAACGAAAATATCGCAACAGCAAGCACTGAAAGAAATGAAAATCAGAAATCAAATCATCATTACAACAAGTTCTGCAAGAAAACGTCATAAATATTCATGTTTGTAAAAACCGTTTCGACATTATTCAAATTTACTACCAGAAGGCAAGCAGACGTACAAAGGCTTATTTGAGTACAAAAGAAAATACCGACATGTCTGTCAATATAATCATATTTAAAACTCAAATATCATAAAACTAGGGCAAACTATGAACAAAAGGAAGATGTACCCGCGGCTCCTGAAAAAGTTCAAGGAGAAAAAGACCAGGTATTTCGGAAGAGTAAGCGTCTTCTGCTACATTGAAGACACCTGTCATGCTAACCTTGGTCAATCCAAGTAAATAATATGTCAAGTTATTAGAACCGCAGTTTCTTTTGTTTATAGAGAGTAGAGGTTAAAATTGTCACCGATTTATAAAAAAAAGGAGTTAAGACGTACTAACTTGTATTTCTACTAGTCAGTATACTCTCTGTCTAGTGAACGCATGGATATTGTAATCAATACTAACCTGCTAATATCTCCAGAGAGGAATGTGCCAGTATTCGGTCCCACAGCAATAATACTTGGTCGCTGGAGAGATAGCCAGAAAACGCTCGTACGAGCCACTTAAAAGAAATTTTCAGTCTGTAATTGAAGTAAATCTGAAGTCATTACAATATCCATCAAAATCAATTCTTCATGAGTGTTACTCACTGGAGTTCCAATCAGCATTTGAAATCCTTAAAACGTGATATCATTTATATATGTAAGAATGTTAAAGTTAAGTTATCTAACGATTCAGTAACGGTTTCGTTATATATCTTGATAACGGAGAAAAAATGATAACCACATTTATGCACAAATGGTAAAAGTATATTATATATATATTGTACATTGATATTCTAAACAAAATTTAAAGCGCGTTTTCTATTTGATATCGATGTTCTGGCCATTGGCATTATAACAAAATCATTGAAAACAACAGAACTTCCTCATTGCTTGCTTTCTGTTTATTCGCTTCTCCAGATTTGGAAAACCTGGTGTCCAGTCAATTTAAATCCCTTTCATTTTTTTTTATTTTTTTGTTTTACAAAAAAAGCGTTTGAACAAAATGTAATTGTTTAGATTATTTCGGACTGAAAATAAGAAATTATCTTAACCATTTAGAACATTTACGATTTCATTTGAGGTAAGTTATTGGAGCATGGAAGCCTGAGAAAGAAAATCACAACTAGAAAAATTATAATGTTTTATTATTGCATTCAAATTTGTTTGACCACATGAAAGAGGAATGATCGTTTTTAAAAAAAAATGAAACATTACTTGTAATTCCTGTAGTCCTAATAGGAAACGGGAATAACCAATGAAAACTCCCGTGACCCGACAGTGATTTCTAATCATCTCACGTCCGACCAGGGAACTGGACCGTGGTTGTTCATGTGAAAAGCGAGTGCGTAACCACTGCGCCACGACTTAAACGCTAATAACTTCAACCATGAATATGTTTTAGAAGAATCTCGCTAAAAATAGGGATGCGTTTTGGGCATATATTAAACTGTAATGGACCTAATAGAGTAATGTCAAGGGGTTGCTATTTCAAATGTGAGTCATACAGAAATAAACCTGCCTTCAGTTGACATTTTAAGAATGAAGAATATAAAATGCGTTATTGCCTTTTCCACCTGAACTACTGATTTGGTCCTTGGAATTTGATACAGGTATCTCAAATGACATTATCTCGAGACTTGAAACGAACAGCTACAATACAGTTTTAGTATTAAATAGCTCTAACATTATCAGATTTATCGCTACTTACGGATGACAACCCACAGTCTTCAGGTGAAAATAAAGTTCGGGTTCGTGGATCTGGAGTAAAGTCTCGAACAACAGACTGATGGCTAATATCCCCTGATAAAGTAAGAAAATAATGTTTTGTCAGTACAACTGATAATACATCTGTGAATGAATCCTTAAATATCAAATACGTGATCCACGTGAAACAATTTTCACATTTACCAGCATATTCCCTAATGTCAATAACAGCATATGATAATTGCACAATCGTTCGACCTATATATAATTAGACACTAATATGGATATTTACCTGAGGATGAGATGAAATACTGTGAAGGCGAAAGAAATGTCTGCAGTACATCTCCCTGAAGACGTAGTAAAGGCAAATGGGCTCGTTAAAAACGTAGCAGAGAGGTGCAACTGAAATGAAATAATGCTCTTTAGATGTAATATTCAACTGATTCTTACGATAATGTAGACCTAAATAAAATTGATTGAGATACATGTCTTTTACAAGCGGATTCATCAATGTTAGTGGCGATGTAACCGCGTCAAACAGCAGATGAAACATAATCGGTGATATTTATATCACATTTTATCTTCAATATTTACGGCTCAGCAATAAACCGAACCATACGCCTTTCGCAGCATTTTTTCCTGTGTTTTAATGTCATGATCACTGTTTTTAGCTTGAAGAGTCTGAATCAAAATATACCGACCTATATATCTACCGTTTGCCATAAATCTTCGGAACGAAGTATTGTATGTCTTATGAAACTTTACTTGGCAATAATATCTAAAAGGTTTGTTTTTAAAACGAACTCAACAACACTTTCCTATAGACATTGTCATTGATTTCAAATATAAAAAATTCTGATGTTGCATAAAGGAAGTTTGGTATTGTGTTTTTTAAAACAATAAACTTCTGTATTTTAGACACTGTACTAAATTCTTCAAATACCGCAAAGCTATCAGATCTCCAATGTTGCATTACAGGATGTATTTTCATAATGTTACCCGACTTTGAATATTTCCGTTGCATTTAATGATGATGCGATTCCCTTTTGAGTGTGGACATTTTATGAATATAGCTGCATTTGAAGCGTGTTTTTCTATTTAGATACATAGAACATATATTGTTTCCTACTTAAGTGTGTTAGAATTGATCAAAATTTAAGAACCTGAGTGCTGAAGATAATAATCATAATTGGCCACCACTACATCTAATTTTAAGTACGTGTTGAAAAGTGCTATTTACTGTGTGTCTTTAGTACATTCATCGACATTGTAGTTAATGGACACGATATAGCTGGTGGACGTTTAGTATCTGATGTATATGTCGTTTAATTCAGACAAATAGTGGTACGATTAATATCACACACGTGTACTCAATGTTTTTCAATAATGAAAAATATTGAATTCATTAGATTAGGGGTTAAGTTTACCACTTCATCATTTCTTTAACATTACTTTCGACTGATTGAATTTTTCTCGCATGCATTCCAGGTTTCAACAATTTATACAACTGTATAATTGCAATTTAATCCATTATTTTGTTCTCTTAAATCTTATTTTATGTTGGCATTGAAAGTTGTCTTTTGCACAATCTTCCAAATATCAATTTTCATTTAGAAAAAAATAATACAGCGGTTTCTCAACCAGCAAAACTGAACATTTTTAAATTTAATGTATTTTTGCACTATGGTCATAACAACGTTATTTGGAACGAAGCCCAATTCAACGAATCATAATAACTCAGATAAATATTGCAAGTCATTGAAACACTTATTACATTAATTTAGTTAGTTCTCGATATCACTATAGGCTTGGGAGTCTGGTTGAAATAGTTTTGAAAATAAAGGCGTCTTCAATATCACTTAAGCTATCTCCGTACCATTGATTTCGGTTGCACATTTTAAGTGCAAAGTAACTGCAACATTTTTTTTTCAAAAGACATTCTTTTATAATTGGATAACTGAACAAAGTCAAACGGGGAAAAAACCTAAATTTATGTCATTTCTCCGAATATACACGCATGCCACGAGTTCAGGTATATATCTTGAATTTTAACTCTCGATGCTGTATTTTTGTCATTATAGGACGACCAATAACGGTAAAAGTCCTCCAATGTGCTTCTGTATCAAGCCCGACCTATTTGGTTATTCTTATAATTTGATTAGATAACATAATGAAGGATTCATATCAGTGCCCATGCTACATTGACTTTCTGATATGCTTTCACGTAATGAAATGAACATGTTTATGGTTGTAACAAGACAGAATTTATGTAGCGCAAAAGTTTCAATCAATTGCCAAGAAACATATTCAACGGCATGAAAAGCACATCCAAAAAGCGTTGAAACATAATATATATATATTGTTTCCGACTCAACCATTTTGGTGTATAAAAAGGTGGCTTTATTGAATTTCGGACTAATTCCTGATTGTGGAAGAGTGATAAATGGATCGTAATATTACTTCATTTCTCAGCCATAATGACTTCGCCGACCAAAATCATTATCGCAGTCAACTATGTACACTATTTACATACAGAAAGTTTCAAAGACAAATTTACATATAGTATACAATGTCTCTTTCGCTTGTTTCTTTACCTTAAATTCAAATTAAGTGTTCCAAAAAATGTTTCTAGAGTTGTAAACACTATTTCAGATTGATGGAATAAAACTTAATGTATATTCATTCACGATTAACATGAAAAATTCCGGACATGTCCAGTGTGAGAAAAATCATAAATCTTTGTCACTCTTACGGATGTAGTGCGGCAGTAAATCATCAATATTCATGACATTATTTCGTATACGTGTTCAATTACCTACTTAACAACTGTCACATTGTTTAGATGTATCGTTCGTTCGGAATAGATACCAAAATAAAAAATATATATATGTATATAGACTCCGAAAACAATCAATAATAATAATAGGTCTAAGAGTATTCGTGCTTGTTTGATATATATTCCATTATCTGCCTACGATCAGATGGACAGGAAATACATTATGGTCATTACATGATAACTTGCTACTATAGTGCCTTTTTACCAGTCATTATACCATCACATTACATAATGAAAAAACCCGCTTATATCGACCCTTGGGAGTGTTCTTACTGGACACAGAACGATAATAGCGCTAATAGGTTATAATCCATCAGCATTTATCAGGATTATTTTTCACGTGGGAAGCTATACCAGGGGAAATGGAAATCATTGCCGTCATAAGACTACTCAGGTCTGTCCCGTTAAACACCTTAATGTAAAATGGTATTGAAAATAGGAACTATCAGTGTCAGTATCAGCGTATTTTCGTCGAATTAAAATCAGTAACTGGTACTTATAAAACTACAGTAACACCAATTGACAATAATACTACGACAGATGCTGAAGGTTTTATTCACCAATAAATCAAGTTGAATATGTTACACGCGATTGTATCTGAAATTATGTATACTTTTAAATACGTTCAACACTTCTAAAATATCCCAATACTTATGAAATACAAAGGGGTAAGCAAGGCCTCCCATTTATGAAAAAAAATAATTTTACATAATGTCCTTTCCCATGATTCAAAATTGATTCCTTTTCACCCAAAGACGCTTTAGACCATATTGGGACAGATTTCAGCATTCATGCAGAAAAAAAGATTATGGATAATTAGTTTCCCTATTGGCCTCCTATTTCTGCAGCCATGGGGGCCGACAACCACCATTCATACAAACTTTGTTTCATTTTACCCTTCCCCTTTGGACTAGTTGAGCATTTTGTTTGCGTATATTAGGGCATTCCTCGAAGTCGGCCATATTTTATGATATGTTTAACACCAAGACGACAACATTTTGAATACAATTATTTCACATGGTATTCTACCATTTTATGCTGTGTTTGTAATAACAAATTAGAGAAATACGGAAGTTACATGGAAAAAGGTTTGATACACTGCTCCGACGCAAGGAAATCAGCGATTTTCCATAATAAGGATCTCAAAAGTAACATAATCTCTGAAAAAGTTATATCATCACTACGCGGGAGGGGGGGGGTAAGATTTCTTACATCACCACTGCAATGATGAGGTTTTCATCAGGTATGTGAATTCATATATTTCACCAGTAAAAATGTAATAGAATGTATACAAATATATATATATATATATATATATATATATATATAGTGATACATTTTATGTCAACAAAAGTAAATATGCATCTTATTAAAATTTTTAAGTATTCAAAAATGACCATTTCAACAACATTTCTATGCTATGTTATTTTTCGTAGCAAAAAGATTTAATGATGGAAACAGATGTATCATTGTGTTAATACCCGCGTTACGGTTTATCGTCCGTAAAACAAAGTCGAGTTAAACTTGATATTTTATTGTCATTTTACTTCGTTAAGGCAAACCCATATAAATGTTTTATCATTGCTATAATTGATTACTATGGTCATAGTTACATTCATAAATCAATGTCAGATATCAGCGTTAGTTGTCTAACTTAATCTATATAACTTTTTTGTGTGATTTAAGAATTTCACTGGTCGATGCCATATGTTACGATAGTTTAGTGGTATATAATATAATGCAAGTTAATTGACTGAGGTTTAAATACATCGATATTTATTTATTGTTTCATAATTGTTATTATAACATCGAATGTCTTGATAACATATTGCTTTCTTCCTAGTTTTGCTCGCATCAACTTTCTTAAAGGAGAGAGAGAGAGAGCAATCTTTCAATGAAAGTCAGAAGATTTCCAATGGTACTGATTGAGATAAATTGGTTTAGAGGTATTACTGTGCTATGGTAAATTGCTAAACAAAGTTACTTAATGTACTGCACTTCCTGTTTGATTCCATACATTGATTCAATCCCATCATTTGGTGAAGTAAGACAGATAACGATTTCCCTTTGTAATCGTTGGATGGGAGGCAACTCAAATGAACCATTTTATTGACGATAGCTTGTAGAAAATAAAAAGTGCAGTGATGTCACCAAAGGCGACGTTTTAAGCATCAACTACAGCTTCATGTATGATTTCCCGACCCATTTCGTGATACTGTTTTCTTCGTGTGTGCATTGGTAATATGTATGTGCATGTTAATTTTCATTAATTCGTTTTCCGTATCAAAAGCTTACTCTTGGATTAATCTTTGTTATGTTTAAGAAGGGTCTATGAAGGTGAAAATTTCTTAATTACATTCAACGACTTACATGCACAGCATTTCCATGGTTTCCTTATTTTTGCCACGTTTAATGCATGTTACAACATACAACACATCTCATTAACATATACTAAATATCTGGGAAATATCCCGAATCAATCATGTAATTGTAGGAAAAGTCAATGTTATATACACAAATATTTGTTTATAGACCGATAATCAAGGACCTCGAGAAGGACAGGCTACCCTCCGAAAGCTATTATATTCGCATTATAATCAATTTCCAAATTGCTGGTATTGAGTGTTTAATGAGGCCAGGTTTTATTATACAATTCAGGTCTTGTCTGTTCCACCATTTACGGAAACACTATTTTGGACACTCATAATAGGATATTCTACAACCTAAAATTACTACCTTCCTTCAATTATTTCTACCAATGGCAGAAAAGAAAGACAATAACACTCCCTGCTAAAATACATTTCTCTTTTGATATTTCCAAACTGAAGCTTTTTTTTTTGCATTTTGTTTAATTATATTACTGCGTTTACTTCAAGAAAAAAATTAATACATGTTAAGCTATTTTTTTTTTAATTTTCTCTAATTATCAAGAAACCCGAGCACATATTATATCTGATAGGTCAAACATTTAGATTGGATTACTTCCCTTCCCTTGCACATATCAGGAATAATTCATCTTTGTATTTAGTATAATGAATGAGGTCCTTCAGCTAAAGCGTTAAGTCATTCCGCCAATCTCCCAATGAACTCAATAATAAAGCTATCACATTTATACACATCGTTTAACAAAGCAAACAAATCATGCCACTAAACTACACATTTCCCTAACTCAATGAACAGAAAAGGAAAAGCAATCCTACAGTTATAATGTTGCCCTACCCTACACCCTTTACATAATGATGCTACGTTAGATGTCCACTGATAACCGTTATCAAGACTTCCTAATTCCATTGTTTTTATAGCCCTACGAGACTTTTTTGACATCAAGCTATTATGTCATCTTTAGAATCGTCCTTCCGGAGTTTTAATTATTATCAACGTTGTCGGATGGCTCAGCCTGAGTGCCTTCCATATGCAGGTTTAATATTGTCGCACGAGGTCCATTATGAAGGGTCTATAAATACCCACAGACCATTACAGACCTGATACATGGAACACGTAATTTCTGTGACAGGCTGCAAAATACAATAATTCACCAAACAGGATACGAATATGACGTCCATATTATTTGATTCTCATTACAGCTTTTAAAGTTAATATATATTCGACGTAAAATTCAATTGACCCATTCCTTAAGGTCCAGATGTACTGCATGTGGTCTGACGAAATGTTTTATTGCAATACATGTTGACAAAAATCTCAGCAAACCAGTTTATGTTTAGACTGATCGAATACCAGACGGTACACTATGCTTATCAGTTTCACAATGGGTCCCATCCATTGATATAGTCAATTACACCGGAAATAACTGTATTTACGTAAAAGAATCATGGGCAATCACTTATTCCTAGAAATCAAACGCATTACTTTATGGTCGACAGTTTGACAAAGGTGTATACATATATCTATTAGAGGTAATGCAATCACTGCATTAGACTGTATAAATATATGTACTTGATACAAATTTAACCTGGCAGGAATTGGGTTCGCAATTGGCGTCTCCAAGATACATGGAATAACAGCGCTTTTAACACAAATGAACATGATATCAAAGATCAAACTCCTCGAGTTTTATGCAAGTTTCTACAATTTCTACAATATTCAAGGATATTCTTGAAACTTAGAATTATAGGAAAAATCCTGTTTGTTCAAGCACCGACTTGCAGTCTTCCATGTATTTAAACAATGAATCTGCATCAAACGAATTGATAAATCGAGAAAAAAAAAAACAAATTTCCAATATTATGTACACGAAGAGCTTGTACTCAATAAGTCATACTTTTGTTTAAGCTTCAGATAACCATTAACTCTGGTTACATCCCCCGATAATATATGCTATTCGCGTCGGTTTAAAGCGGCTATTACCTTAGATTTCAACATCGGGAAATGGAGAATTCGGCTTATGAATAATAAAATATATCAATAACAAAGCGATACACGCGCATATAATGTCAAATTTGTTGTTTTTGTACATATTTTCGGCGTCGGAACAATGTTTATCTTGACTATCGTTTATAAAGATGTTCACGCTTGGTTTATTACGAAGAGTGGTTCACATGGCTTGTCACGTGACGCCGCAAGGAAAGAATTGATTACGAGATAAACAAACGCATAAGTCTTATGTATGACAATTGCTTTTGAGCCTTTCTGCTAATTCTTGTTTGCAGTAAATGATTCTATAGTGTTATGATATATAATTTTTAACAATCAATCTTAGTCATTCGTTTTGTTTTGGCTTTGTCGTGCGAGAATTATCTATGTCAATCGCGGGCGCTAAAATAGTGGGGCCCCAAAGGGTTATATGCAACCGGAAAAGAAAAATCTCATTGTGCAGAAATGCACAGGAATTGATACTTTGTCTGTACACATTAATAGATATTGCACTATCATGAAGGATACGTTTATCATTACGATTGTTATTCTTTTACACGAACGAATACCCCCAATTGGGCTCCACCTTGCTGTCAACAACAAACACACGTTGTCGACAGTAAATTCAAGCGAATAACACAATTATTTTCATTCAACATTTATCAGATAACACTTTTAGTAGTGTTGTTCATAACATACTCACGAGTCAAACATTGGATATTGGATTATATTCATTGACAAGCGGATACGTTATAATTATAGGGCTAACGTTAAGCTAACCAAATTTCGAATCCGTATTCAGTCCAAGATCCGCCTTCATCTTCCGCCATCTAACGAACTCCTGTCTAATATAAATTCTTGTCTGTCCTCCTTTCCGGACTGACTCCTTCCTCTTACACTCTCTAGCACTTTCTGCGAGGTAACTTTTAGTTTAGGTCCGCGTCGCCTTTTCGTATTTGCGTCCGCCTTATTGCTTCTTTTTAGGTTGATACGCATGCGCAGCATCAGGGTTACGAGCGGTAATGTATGAATTAGATCAGGACCGCAATGTTTACATTCTTTATTTTTTAGATATCAATAAAAAATGGTTGCAGTGAGTTTTAACTTTAGAAATTAACAGAAAGTCTTAAGTTTTGTAACATACTATTGGAAAATAGAACGTTTTATATCTTTTTCTCGTTGTCTTTTTTTTTTACATGATAGTCGCTTTAAGTAGATCGGCAAAGTTAAAGTAAGATGGTCGGCATGAAATATCAGAAAATACCAAAATGTTGACAAAATATTAATTCAAACTGCTCTTCCATGAAACCAAGGCCTTTAAAAATAAAAAGAAGGGCCACCAGGAATAACATACATGAATATTTAAGCGTATATATACAAAAAATAGTGAGTCGTGTAAATATTTCGACATGCACTTTTCTTCAAAGGTATCGGGCTATAATTCGCCGTCTTCGAGCAGTATTATGGTGATAAGTCATATTATCAGTTGGTTACTGGTAAGAAAACTTGAAATTATGAAATGTGTGGTAATGCAGCTAGTACAACTCAGTATCGTTTCATTTTTTCAATGCCAAGTGTTAAATTATCGATATTTTGTCTCTTCAGGTAAAAGTATAACACTTCCATCGATACCTACAGCATAAAACATCAGTAATGTTTCGTATTCAGAAATAAAGCAGTAGAAGATTAAATGTAAAGATGTAAATCTGGTGATTATATGTATGTATACAGAGATTTCTTTACATCAAGAAAAAGTACCTGGATGAACGCACCTTGCTGTAAAATTGCGATATGATACTCCACTTATAATGTTCCTCGAACATGTAATTCTACAATCCATGACTCCAGACAACCATTTTATTAAGTTACATACAAGATTTAGCTGTTACAAACAGAATAAAAATATGTATACTAACCATACATGGCAAACCCGTGGAAAGGAATTACTCCATTTGGGGGATATATGACTGCAAATTCTTCCTGTCCCATTTTCCCTCGTATATACGATTTAGGTGGGGTAGCACTATTCTGAGCGAAATGTTTTAGAACGTAGGTATCCCTTGAAAATGGAAGAAGAACCTGAAAAAAAGGATTGGTGTAAATCCTTACATGTTACTGACACGCTGATTGTTATCTGATTTTCAACACAAATTATCAATTTTCTCACCTGATACAGGAAGTCTTCAAAGACAAAGTATTGGTCATCGTTTGTTGCCGTGAGCTTCACATCCTGTAGAACACAACGAATGGCGTATGTTTGAAATGAACACAGAAATTGCATTAAATTGAAATACACTGACCATTGTTAATACCTTCCAGAATAGAAAATAATAAAACTGCTCTTCTACATTTTGATCTGTCTTAACCCAGTCTCTACTTTCAAAGAAATCAGCACGCGAAGCGCTTCAATACGTTATATGATAAGCGTGGTGATTTTGATTGTTTTTCGTCATAGATTTTCTACTTCTAGACACTGAACTTCCTTCTTCACGAACCTAGAGTGATTCATGAAACAGATGCATCAATATCAAAAGGTTACCCATATAACCCTTCCAAGATAGATACTTATCCTTTGAATTGAAATAATCAGCTATCGTACCATGTGATATAAAATTTCGTTGATTTCAAAAGCACTCTTAACACTTGAATCCATACCTTCATAAGCAGCATAAGATGATTCATTGAGCTATATTTATACTCGAAGATTAATATCCACGAAACATTTTTTTGAAAACCCACAAAAATTGAGTCCATCGAAAATAAAGGATTTTACAGTATTTTTGTTGAAATGTCAGAAAAATTACTGACGTGTTCTAATTACTATGATAACAAAATGTAACATTTATCGTTAAAACTTTATTGTTAGTGATAGAAATCCAATATATTATTGCCCATTTAGTCAAGATTTTTATTTCATACATTTCTTTGTCCCAGACGTTTTCAAATCTCAAGCAGTAGATCCTAGACTGGTTCATATGATACAAATGATTCCCATAATTTTAGCAGCGAATTTTCTGATTTAATATATAAGTGTTTAATTCAATACGGAAAGGTCGATTGAAAATAACCATCTTACACTGCTTGTAAAGCTTACATCTCGGTAGCAGTTTCCATTTGATAAAGGGCTTATCGTTTCCTTAGAGAACAAGTATATACCTAATCAATTCAATACAAGTCCTACAGCACATGATAGCCATGAACCCCCTGAGAGCGTAAGATCTTTTGCTGTCACAAAACTGATACAAGAAAATGCCATTGTTCCAGTGTAGCCGAAAACCATCCTATAGTGATAACTATCTCCTATAAAAGGTCCACACTGCATCAATCTTCTCACCAGCCAAACCTGGAAATTGTATAATCTAACACAGACAAGAACAATTAAGACATTAGTTACAAAGATAAACAAGCAGGCTATTCCTTCTGACTGATCACGTGGTACAGTGCATGTCCATGGGGACAATCAAACTGTCTAAATGCTAATACAATCATCGCAAAAAGCGTAGGTAAGCTTTAAGTGAATATACAAGCTCGCAAGAGACAAGCATCACGATTCAGAGCTAAAAGTGAGATAATGTCTGACAGGATATATTGTCTTAAAATGATGGTCATCCTCTTGTTTATATATATATACATATATATAATCAATAAAGTAATAACGACAGTAGGGACAATTAAATTGCCGAATTTTCGCGGCAATCTTCCCCTTTATCAAAACAAAAAAAATTACCTGTTACATGACATAAAAAGAACATAAAACAAATACAAAGTTACTAACTATCATCGAGAACGGTAGTGTTAATTTGAGTGTCTCGATAATCACTTCGGCCGATGGACACCAAGGGCTCTTTGTAAGGAGCGAAAACCCATCTTAAAGAGTTTGTCGGTACATCTCGGTCCCACACTAATGCAGGAATTGTTGATTGAAAATCTTATTGTAAAGATTTTATTCATTTATAAACTTTAATTGAATTTCCTGCAACTAATCAGGACAATTTTTAACCATATCTCTGCAATAACTGCAAGTCTTAATCTTTCTTTCAGAAATTTGTGATTATATTATCTTTATATTTGATTAAACTGCAAATAAAAACAGCTATATATCAATATGTGAGAATCGTAAATCAACAACGATGATATTGGGGCAATTGGGTACAAGTGGGAATATACGAGTCGTCTCCTTCTTCATCGTCACAGGGCATGTAAAACTGGCGTTATATCAATAAAGAATGTCGCGTGATAACGACAAATGTAACACTTCCCTAGCAAACTTACATCAACATAGATGTAATGAATATTAGTGCTTATGATTTGTTCTTGTCTTTTTTTATTTAATGCCTGTCTGCAGCGGAGTCTCGCTTTGAACAGAGCTGTATTTCGCATCGATATCTATCACGGTAGCCTTAGTATATGGACAAGATGGGAACAGGGTCAGTACATAAAGAATAATGACATATTAAGTGAAGGAAATGCTTATCATACAGTTCAATGATGAGTTTTCCCTTTTGACAGAGTTGAAACAAAGATCGATGTAACTAGCAGATCGTAAACAGTGTGATAAAAAATCAAGTATATGATATTCTGGACCTCCTCAGTTGTGTTCTTCGGCCGAATAATAAAGAAAACATTAAAGAGAAATCATGTTTCAAAATGTCCACCAGAGCTGGTACATTGAACTTTCGACGAGACCGAAAAATAACTGCCCTTTGTCGATTGCCCTTACTCTACATTCCCACTATTTTTTGTAATAGCACCATTGAATCTTGAAATGAATTTCAAAATAATTCCATGACAGTAGTTATATGTAAAAGGTTTACGCACAGCAGACGGCAAACGACTCATCCTAAAACTTGGGTCAGATGACATAAAAGCCATACTTTTTAAAAACCTCTATTTATTGATTGACCCAACGCCGTCCTTAAAAATCGACACTAATATTACGTCTACTAAAAGAGTCATAACGTTCCCTTAATTAGCATGTTTCGATAAAGGTTTCCTTACACAACAAACCAGCAATTAATTTTGCTTAAATGACCGTCCTATAATCGACATCACAAAATGTTATGAAATAGGTTCATAATAAATATCTTTACCTGCACTATTTAACTGTGAGATTATATTAATGTTTGATGAAAACAAATCAAGATCAAATATAACTAATTGTTTCATTTCACGTTAGCATAATAGGCAATATACTTTGAAAGTACATATTTCAGTGGTACATTTGTGTTACCTTTTCACGCTTAAAATATAGCGCAAACATATGATAGCACATGGCAGTTTGTGTGTAATATATATATATAACATTAAATGTGAATGTGTCATTAAACATTCCGGTAATTTGGCACAAAGTGACAATGTACTGAAGTTTGAGTGCGCTCTTAAGTACGTTTGTAGCATATGCCTTTCACGAAGACGCGGTCAATTCACCACCGTCTACTTTTGTATAAATTGACACCAATCAAAAACTTAGATTGACAAAACCATCGATTCTTACCTTATATAATAGACTGTCAACTAAAAGGTCGTGTTGCTGGACGTTGACTTTCAATTGTTCATAGTACAAAGTATCCTGTAAACAGAGCAGTTCAAAGATAAAACTAGTACACATTCAATTTTTTCGTTCTTCTTCGACATTTGTAATGTTACGTTACGTATCTTCTTTAGACAACATGTTTTTTTTTCATAACTTTATTTTTTTCTTAATGAGGCATAGTAACTTAAATGTAAATAATACTCAGTTTTCCCTTACTTCTTCGTCGATCTCCACACCTAACATCTGACACCACAAGCTGGCTCGCAAACTAGTTGGGCAACCTTTTTTAGAGAACTCCTGGGCCAGTGGACCGTGGCATGCATTTATCACTAACAAAAAGAAAATGGAAATTCAGAGTCAATATGTTATGCTAAGAAACTGATCAATACAAAATGTCAGTTTGAACAGATAAAGCGATAGATGTAAGTTCCTTACTAAAGAGGCAATCATTCTTTGACACTTCCGTGAATCTAAAAATCAGTCTGGAAAGAATAACCTACTAAACAAAGTATCCGAACATAAAAGAGCGAAATAACTAAATTACTGTGTATACATACAAAGTTATAAGTGGGTGTATAGAAATCGAAATACAGACACCAGATAAATGTAAATTCAAGAAAAAACTTTACATTAACATGATATATGACTTTTTCGGTGTATTCGTTTTGTAAAATATTGTCAGGAATGATGAGTCTTTTAAGTGACATTACGTGTAAATGTCTTTATGTAACTTTACACATTACGATTGGAAACATTACGTAAGAAATTGATGCTTCTCTACCAACTATATTGTGATGACTGCTGGGCAGTAAATAACATGTACAAATTTCGGTCAGAGTATATAATTAACTCCCGAAACCTTTTCGCTCCCGCAAACGCTAACACATGGAAGAGACTTGTTTCAAGTAAGATACATGGGATTAAAAAAATCTGAAAGGGTAAAAAAGGACACCGTATGCTTAAAACGTATTTTTCGGAGTTTCGTTCCCGTTCTCCTTTAAATTGAAAGAGAATAAAAAAAAAAACATCGATTCTGCAGAATTCCAACAGATCTTCTAGCATCATGGATCCTGTCTACTCATTTTCAATGACGTGCCTGCAGGGGTGTATTAAGAATCTAGTCATCTGTATATAATTTACAAATTTTGTTGCATGTTCTGATGCCACATCCAAATAACACCATTAATCGCATCAATACCCAGTTCCTTTAGAGTAAATGACTTTTCTCCATACTGCATTCTTCATTGCTATGAAATCAAATTACCAATGCACCACAAATATACATGCTGAGTAGGGAGATTAATTACTCAGAAATTGCTCTTTTGTATCTTTGATCCGCTTTTAAAACCCGACTACCTAACCTTGTACTAATAATCCATCGTATGATTGTGGGAGGAACCGTTGCTGCCGGTCTACAAACGAGGCTTTATCCACTTGATATCGTTAACAATAAGCTCCCGTTGATATTGTAAGGCTTGACTGATAATTAGCAAAATAGCCCTTAACCGTATTATCAGCTAGCTTACTTAATAACTTACACTTCATTTTGTTACTTCAAATGTTTCATGTTAAGCAACAATTCCAAGGAATAATACGAGTACTATTAAAACGATTAAAAACAAATATGATGACAGAAGCACAAAGCCCGTTTTATATATGAAATACGTTTCTTCAATGACGATGTTTACAACAGCACAGAAATTATCAACATGTCAACTTTGCAAAACATGAACGAAAAAACCAATAAGAAATTTAAAGAATAACCAGCAAAAAGTACAAGGCAAATAATAGCAGGTATTTTGTAAGCAACAACTGTTTTATATCTTTTTAAGAAATATTATGTCCTCAAATGAGAACAATATTAACATTAAGTGAATGGAAAAAGTATTTAAGTGATTTTGGCGAAACTCCATCAGAATACATAGATTTCCATCCTAACTATGAACCAAATCAATGAAAAACTCATTTTTATCGATACCTTATCATATAATAGTCACAGTTATGAAACGCTTTTGAGAATTTGATCTCAACGCAGCTACTGAAAATTATTGGAAATATACGTGTACAGAAAAGCCCATACTTTTTTCATTTTCTTCTGACTAAAGATGAATATTTACATTAATCACCAAGTAATAAGGTGGAGCTTCAAATGTAACAGTAATCATATAGTGATGCAGATCATTCAGCTATTTCATGATGTTCGAGGCTGACGTCATCCCACGTTTATCGGAGTCGATATTTTAGTCACTAGTAAGTTTGCAATGATATCAAACAGGGTCATTGCTTTACCAGAAAGAATTAATATTTTGTGCGGGAAATCCCACGACCGACAGTTTGAAACTCACAATATCAAAAAACCCGATTGACAAAAACGGCAGGTAGCTTGATCCAGCGTTTTGGCATTGAAAATGTAGCTTCTACGTCGTCAATCATCGATATAATCAAACGCAAACATGACAATTCGCTAACGAATAATAAGTTTCATAGATGGAGGCAAAAATCGGGTCCAGTCAGCTAATGAACACAGCAACACCTAATCCCGATAGTGGCACAGAACAACAAGCTGCGATCCGAATTTCAGTCACTACTTTGGAAATTTTCAGCTTCACATTAAGTGTTGCCTTTGTACTATATTTGTTACTTTAATTCATCGTGTTTGCCGTCTCCAAGCAAGCGCACGAGATAATGTCTGCACTTCATAATCCCTCAGCATGAAACAAAGAATAAAATAAAAAAAAATCTTCAGAACTACACGTGTCCGTGTGACACGAAAGTCCCCGTTGGCAACCAATGAGTAGTATGGAGATTTAAGTGCTATTGACTTTTAATTGGCGTACTCGTAACTTTTCAGACCCTGTCAAGTACTAGTTGACCATAAGACTGACAGCAAAAAAGTGATTAATAAATAGCCAAAAGTGAGGAGTTGGATGACATTACATTAATGCTACAGGATACAAATTCAAAATTTGCTTTGCGTGCAGAAGTGCTGATAAAGGCAAGCTTTTAATCACTTTCATGGTTTGAATGTCACCAAAGTGTTGCTGATGGCTTTTTTCATCAGATGACCTCAAACATAGAATTTTACGTTAGAAAGAAATAATAAAAATGTAGTTTTGCCTGCAAAATCTATAGCAAAACAGGAGATCAAAAGGCCTAAACGGTCACCTGACTAATCGCAACTAACTTAAACTGCAAAAGGGTCATAAGTCTTTAGGTCTAACAGTTCTAAAATTGCAAGGAACCGTAAGTTTATTAATTACGCTTGAATCTGTTCCATTGTCGGACCAGTTTGAAATATGTTCATACTTTCTCAATTATATTGTTCACAAGGGCCATGGTAATAAACGTTCAAAGGGTCCGGGTTGAATACAACACATGGAAGTTAATCTGGGTTCTTTATTTACCTTTCTTTCCAACTTTCATCTTGTCAGACTCGAACAGCTCTGGAGGTATATCCCCGAAGTCATCTATTCCTGATTGGCCTTGATTGATCGCCATATCACTGTACTGAAGCCGCTGAAAATACATACTACAATATGTCCCTTATCATCAACAAACACTCATGTAGTTCTATGGAATTAAGCCATGTATTACGTTCAATATTGCATAATATACTAGCATCCATACCACATCGGTTAAATTTCATCGGATTACGTCTTAACTAATTGAAATAATATTATGTACTCAAGATCATTAAGTGCTATATCAGGTTCACAAATTATGTCAGTAAATTTTGCTCTTGTACAGTATTTATGACTAAATGTTATTTCAAACCGTTTTTATTGAATGATTTGTATTTGTGTGTACTTTACTTCCACGAAAATTAATAGGTGTCCATTTGTGCAATTAGGTACGTTTATGGGGATAAAATGATTAGATATTGGGCATTATAGAGAGGCCTTTGCATGAATATCAATTTGGGACTCAAAATAGCTACTAGAAATATGTGGATGACTAACTTGAACCACCAAAATCACATTCCATAAAAAATCCTTTTACCAACAGTCTAAAGAGAGACAAATGTGAAGGAAGTTCCCACACAAAGTCTATTGAACAACATAACAAATTACAGGATAACATCAGAAAAACAAATGAGGATGTATGGATATCAAATTATCTTTTGATTTGTCTTTTTTTCCGCATAAGATATGGAACATAAAGAAACGCAAGACAAAACTGGAAATACGAACTATTTTCATGTACTAATCAAAGTAAAACATGTTAGCAGGGTTACCGAAACATATAAATGCTTGGAATCTTTTAATCTACATGTAAATAAATATTAGCTTACATCTGATGAAGAAACGTGACATCGCTGAATAGATTGTATCTCCGGAGGACGCCATCGTTTATAATTCAAATGCGATACGAAATGTGATACAACTCATACGTCTGCATAAAGCTAACAGCTTGAAATACCACGAATCTTCCAAGAGACATAATTAAGCTACTGGATTTGTTCTCTAAGGCGGTTGATATCTTCGACATCACATAATCCAAAATATCTTTCAATATCATAAAATATGCTAGTAATCATTCTCCTTTTTCAAACTAAAATAAGACAATTTTTACAGAATCGTTAATGCAGGAGTTGAGCCAACGCTCTCCTGTATACCACCTGATATGTAGGACGATTAAGAAATAGTAAACAGTAAGAATAGCAATCAATAGCAACAAGCTCCGATAAAGTTATTTTTCTTAATTTGGAAAATCGTCCGAACTAAGGGCTTCTTCAGGACGATTTAATGGTAAAATTCGCCTCGCAGCAGATACTTAAAATCTAGGCATATTTATATTGTTTTATATGATGTAACAGTTAAAGTCATAGGAATATATTTGTTCTATAACATTTTATGGTGTTCCATCATGGCTATCTTTATAAGGACTTCATATACTGAGACACATTTAATAAATACTTTCTAGTAAAATTAGTTTATGATTATGTTTCTATTACACTATCATTTTCCCGTTTACTTATGTAGTAACCAGATGGAAGTATGATAAGGTTATACAGGCCTATTTGGTCAAGCGTATGAATACTACTTCTATGGTCAAGGCGAGACATCCACCAAAACGTAATACATACAGACATAAATGTTCACGTTCTGTGTAGTATTCGCCTATTATATCATTAGTACGCCAAATTGTAGTATATGACACTGTATACTACAAGTTACAGTGATTCGGTCGGTGAAGGAATAGATATATCTTCAAGGATTCGATATCAACAAACTCACATATCCGAAGTTGTTGTTAAGGGGTCTTACGGGCGACATTCTAATTATCTTGCACCTGAATTGTATAAATATCAAATTGAATACTGCCAATAGTCCATTGCTCAAATAATATTTCATAAGATGTACTTAATTACATTTATAATCAACTGATAAATACTCCTCAGAATTCGGACTGAAAGTTGAAAGTCTCATCTATGTAAGCACCATGCTATAACCATCTTTAAAATCTTTCTTGCATCTTCGAATTTACAGCTAATCAAGGCTTAACCTTCAACAAACCAGCACTTCTAAACTTTGTGTTATTTTCTACGTGCGTAATGACATAACTTATTGTCTAGGAATGCATTTTGAAGTACGGTGCCATAGAGACACTGACATTTAAAGCTCCTACATTATGTTGGTAATGGGTTTGTTTAGTTTTATAAGTGAAAAAGTTTAAATGTTATATTATTGTTTGCTTTCTAACATACAAATGTGTGGTGACCTTGATCTTTTAGTAAAATTCAATTTTGATAAAAAATGAATAAGAAAATAGGTCAGTGTATGGGAAACGAATGAGGTTTTATTAGGAAATGTTGAAGGGTTCTCGTGTTACTTTAAACGAGGTGGATTGCAGTATACCATTCCTGCTTTTCTTGAGTGGGAATACTAAGAATGGGATAAGTATACAAGTTATATATCATCTACGTAATAAATGAGACCAGATCTGGAACGAAAAATAACATGAAACACGCTAAGGTAATATGAAACGAATATTCAAATTTAAAATATAAAATAATTCTAGACGAAATGACCATTTTGATTAATAACCGAAGGTAAAATATCACGTACCAGTTTATTAATGCTTTTGACTTTGAGGGGAACTTGTACAATTCCCCAGAGGTGATGAAACCTGCAACAAACACCATAAAATAACTATTTGTAAGCAAAGTTAATTACAAATTGTCAATGTACTATGAAGGATGTGTATTTCAACGTACTTATACTTAAATGAAACAATAAAGGTTTAATGATTTCTCAGCTTAACAGGAAATGTTGACCTGGCTAATATCACTGAATCAATTCTTAATAACTTCTTTTTCTCAGTTATCTTTTAAATTTTTCACTGTATGTCGTCCTCTGTATGTAAAAACTTAATAATCAATGTGTATTATTCTTTGCATTGATACAACCTGGGTATTTATCAATTGAAATTGTAAGTGCAACGTATAGAGAGTTCGAAACTAAACAAAATACACATTACATTTACGATACATATCCATTGTAACATTACATGTCTATGATAACTTTCTTGATAATTATGTATGTTATAATGAACTACCATGAGAAATCAAAATAAACAATTCTAATGAGAATATCTAGTTTTCTTAATCATGAAATTTAGAACTGAAAATGATATAAATTCACAATGATAAATATGCAATGTATTTGTCTCAGCGAAAAAAAGAAATCTAAATGTTGCTGATACAGGCGTAATCTTCTTACTTTACCTACCCAGGGGCATCGCCATTGTGATAATTTGGATTTGACAATCCTATGATCACCTCCAGAAAATCTTTTGGTGCATAAACAGGACGAATTTGGGTCAAATCTGTAAAAAAATGAAAATGGAACTTACGCGTTTGACATTAATTGAGGACATCGCTTTAGTTCAATTTGCAAGCCTGGTAGTTTGTGTTGAAACGTTTTAAGTATTCCAGGTTATGATGTAAGCGTACTTGCAGTTAATTAACATCCTCTCAACAAAACTCAAAGCATTTCTACAATGCTATGACTTGTTCAGATCATCATCCGTAAAAGCATGTAGCCATTTCTGCTTTGATTGGAATTGGGCCACAGGCCAAAAGAGGCAAAAATATCAGCCGCATAGGTGTCGACTTTCTTCATTATTTCAAATTGTTTTTTAGATGATGCAATGATTGGCGTAAAATGTTGTGGGTGGAGGAATAATGGAGCTTGCATTTGTCGATTCTCAGGATTCGGAATCACATCGTTGTCAACTACAAAGAACGGCAGTAAATCGTCAAACAATCGGCAATAACATTAATGACGACAGGCGATGGTAGACATTTTGTATATCTTCATTGATTTCGGCAATTATACCCAATATACCGTACTCGTACCGATATGATATAGTATTCCTTTCGATGCACTAACGATGTACTTCTTAGTGATGAAGAACTCTTATACTAAAGTACTATTGTACTGCTGTATTTGTTTTTTTTTTTTTTTTTTTGCGGCGCTTTGATAACCTTAACACGAAAATGTGGTATTCGGCGTTCTTACATCGGTAGGACAACGATAATTCGGGAAGGCTGATATTACTTCTTTTCGTGAATGCTATCTGAAGATTTCCACATCGTTCTTTATTTTGTGCTCCGTTTCGATACAGGCAATGTAAATCGGCAGTATATGATATTAAACAGACTGCTTGTTTAATATCGGAATCCAGACCAGCGATACAAAAGGAGAAAAACATGAAAAACAGGATATTAATTGAATCTATCATGGGTGACTAGATAAAAACGTTTCTAGTTAATATTTACGGTTACTAGTAGGTTTGTATAAGCAGAGAGGTGTACGTAGCCTCACGTCTGCGAAAGGTAATAAATAAAGTAATTATTAATCCATTACGTGTTACAATATGCAAGGTCACGTACATCGAAGTGTAATGTTCAATGTGTGTATATATATATTACAAACGTATGTCCGAATCTGTTTTTCACCAAAGTTTATTGTGTAGTAGCATCGACCTTACACTATAATGTAATATATTTATCTTATTGACCATGGTCTGGCTGAGGGTGACGGTAGCCGACGTTGTGCCAGTCACCGGGTTGTGACATACCTTTTGTTTAATCAATATGTACATTTACAGTGCCACAGCCTTTATCACAAAAACACAAATAACGGAACACCATATGAAAGACCTTAAATGTTTATATCAGGATCACTTGCAGAAAAAGAAGTTCTACAAGTAGTATCTTTCCTTTACATGCAGTGATAAGAATATGCCAACAACCATACAAAGCAAAACCAAGCATCATAAATCAGTTTAACACATCAGATCTTTTTCGAAAATTGATATCTCGGGATTAATATATCAAGATTACTTTGGCGTTTCTTTGTTTCAGAAGACAAACTCCAACATCAGAAATCTTAAATTACACTATATTCTCGTTTAATTGCCTTTCGGTATACTCCTGTTTTACTGTGAATATCATTATCCGGTAAACAAAACTCTTATCCGCATTCGTGCTCATTGATGTATTTCTTATTTCATGACTCTTTTTTTTTACTTCTCTTGTTTCATGAATACACAAGTTCTTTTCCATTAAAAAGGTTTGCACTTTAGAATGCACAAGTTACAATCTTTTTTCACAAGTCACAGATTTATTCGTTTCGTTTTCTACATGTTATTCAAACTTGAACACAGAACATGATTCTCCATCCACATTTAACAACCAATTACTGAAAATGAAAACGAATTATTTGATATCACTTTTTAGCCTCAGGGTAATTCTTTATTTTCTATTTGTGTCATATCCAGCATTCCAACATGCTTGAATCAACACTATGATACAAGAGCTTTGTCCCAATTGACAGTAACAAAATTGCCTTTCAAGAGATTAGTTTCCAATTTTCTACAGATTTCTCTTAATTGCCATTTTTCGTTGTCACCACTGATGTGATGTGCCATTTCCTAGAAATCACTATTCTCCTTGCCCTGCAGTAATCTGTGGTTTAACTTTGACAATCCCCAACACAGTTTATGTCAAAGTGGTAAATCAATATGGCTTGATTTTAAAGTTAAGCAGAAATTTATGCAGCTCATTTTGTGAACCAAATTTGTAATGGTTTTAAGAAATAAGTTTTAATTTGTTCTTTAATAACAAAAACAACCATAATCACAATGTAGCTAGATGTACAATAATGAAAAAGGTTACTGACATGATGCTTGAACAGGAAAACATGTTCTGTGGCAATGTAAACCAGGAAAAAAGAATGTTTAACTCAATGAGCATGAATATTACAGAACAACTGTTTATGTGATGGGAACGAAAAGGGGCTCCTAACGTATTCCAACTGTAATTGAGAGTTAGTATAACACTTGTTTTGTTGTAAACTTAAATATTGTTGTAGAACTGTTACAACAAGAATTTTCTATAATCTGATTTTGCCTTTTTCTGATGCAAATTCTCAACAGCTGCTTTAGCGAGAATATCCTATAAAGTACAATTGATGGTCCAATATATTTTTAACCCGGTGGTACCTAGTATTGATCGGTACCTTTCTGGCAGACCTTCTGTCAAGTGCTGATAAACGTTACTAACTTATTGACCAAAGCAAAAAAATCGTTCCATACATGTCAAGACCAAAACTGTTGGGATAGAAAAAAATCTGGAACAAACTGACAGACGAAATATCAGGTTTTTAAATACAGTAATTTAAACAACATTACAATTTTGCGCCAACAACCTTGCCCACGCCAATTTGCTGCCTTTTCTTTAAGGATGTACTATTCTGATGTTTTTACCAGAAGTAAGACATAACTCAACATAAAATTAATTCCAACAGAACATCTAACACTTTTGTCTTTTTTTTATATATATATTTTGTCATCTGTAGTTGTACCTTTAAGTTGAAAACAGCAGATCTATATCACGTTGTGAAGAAATTTCGCTCATGGACTACATTTTTTGATGGCGTAGTTGACAGCGTGATTAATAGCGTCAACAATTTCCACTTTTTCTGGTTGTTACGCAACTCCTCATGAGTATAATTCATAGGCAGATTTAACTAATTTTGCATGAATTATCGCCACAAATCATTGATTCCAAATTTGTGAATTCCGACTTGGTGACCATTTTAGGATCCATAAATATTTTTTCAGCTGATTTCTTGATCTTTGAAAAAAAGGCTATTTGGGTAATAACTACAAAAAATAAAGCACATGACACCCACTTTTTTAATCAAGAAATGTATCCTCGAATTTTTCTCTATCAAACTAAACAGTTTTAAAATAGTTTTGATAGTTTTAAAACATCAACATAAGTAAATGGTAAAATAAAAAATGTATGTCAATTTGGAATATTTTCATTTCGAAAATGTATCACTAGAGAAAAAGTTCAATTCATAATTTTTCTTACTTCTCAGAGGAGTACATGCTGAATTTTTTCACTTCTATATTTGTGTTTTCTAAAATATATATTTGCACTCTTGATTGAATCTATATTAAACATAGTTAAAAGAAACAATTAAAAATAGACAATGGACAAGTGATATCAGTTATCCTTACTCTGTGAAGTCAATCATTAATAGTGGAAAACTCAGAGAAATGCGTAATGACATATTACCACAAACAATGCAAGTGCAGAAATTTTCTATTAATTGATATTAAATGAGAGCTCTTTAGAGACTGAAGGTACCCACTGCCAGCATAAAAAACGCATTTTTAGCTGCTGAAAAAAGCTCAGTAATGACAGTATTGACCAATCAGCTTAGAATGTGGCATATCCTGTATCTAAGTGTTCAACACTTACTTCCTTGTTCTACAATGATACAAAATTTGTTTAACTGCAATGTGTTTGTGTATTGGTTGCAGCTGGTTTACCTATACTTTAATGATCAGTAATGAAAACAATATACCTGGACCATCTGTTCCCAGTTCTGTCCATCTGTGGATAATGTCCCTTTGGTCTTTTTCAGGTCTCTGCAATCAAACAAATAAATGTGTTATTTTCATATTTTAAACAGCACTTTGATGCTGGTTGTCTATCATGTGTGCTTTCCAAGGATAATTCAACTTAATCCTAATCCTAAAAAAAGGGGAACCCTGTGAACAAAGAAAACTTGTTACAAATAGATGCTTTTCTTGAATATTAAAAAACAAAAATATGAACAAATCTGTACAGGGACAGTAAAACAAGTCTTGATAAACATATTACTTGATTTCTAGTACAAAATATCAAATTAGAATATCAGGTCCTTATATGTCTTACCTGTCCCCTTTGTTAGTATGGACAATTTTAGCCAAACACAAATACACTGAATCTCCCACCTCCAATATAACAAAATTCCAAGTTTAATATAATTCTAATCAATGATTTGTGAACACTATGGATGTATTGTTTAAAAATTGATGCACTCTAAAACATGAAAGGACATTTTGACCATTCTTCGATTCTCGAAGTTCACTTTAATATGACATCTACATATCACCCATAATATTGTTGCTTTCCAATGTAGGGGGAAGAAAACTTGTCTGGTATTCTAGAAACTTGTTTCAAGTGTTCAGTATGCCTTTAGAGTAAATCTGCAGTAACAAATGTACCAAATACTCTGTAGTTATTACAGGTTTAGCTTTACTTGTTCTGTATAAAAAACTGAGCTTCATGTTTTTTATAAACTTATAAGTACGAATTCTTAATATCCCTAGGTTTCAGAGCTGCTCAACGATAAAATCTGGAAAATATTTTGTAATGATAGATGTGTGGAGGTGCAAACTTTAAGATTAATTATTTTCAGCTATACTAAGTTATTTTAATTTGGAGTTAAAGTTTTTGAGCAACAGATCATCATGCAAAACTATAAAGTCAGATATTGATCACTCAGATGTGAGCTAAAAATCACCACTTTCGTCTCCCTCATCCACACCCTCCTACTCCTTACGACTGTATATTTTTTCCCAATAAGAAAGTCTGATTTTAATCTAATTCCTTACTCAGTTTATAACCAGCATCATAAACTGAAATGGAATCTCATGTCTTATCACCAAATCTTCAAAATCGCTCATCACAATCTAAATTGTCAAAGTGAAAATACTGCAATAATTGTATGTGTGATACCCAAAACAGTGTTTTTTCTAAGTCATTAAGTCTAGTAATTTGTTGTGTACAAAAATCAATAAATTGTTTCAACTTTTGAAAAATGAGACATAAATGAAAATTCTAGGAATGTTCTACAGACATTTGAAATATAAATGAATAGATTATTGCTTAAAGGAAAAGGCACAATCTTATCAGACTCACAAAAAACAGTAAGGTTAGTAGATGGCCCTGCATCTTAACACTTCAGACAGTCAACAAATTGAAAACAAACAATGCAAATTGGTGTCGAGGTGTTATCAAGAAAAATAAATATGGTCACTTGTATTGACAATAATGATTTTTAAATGAGTTATACAAGTCTTTGATATTAATGTCCTTATCTCTGTCTGTGCGACAGAACAGTCTCCTGAGGTAATACTGTTTTCAGAGCGTTGGTAATCTTTATCTATAGATTTCTTTGTTACATGTATCACAGTTTAACATTTTCCATTTAAAAGATATATAATCATCGCTTACAAAGGAAATCTTCCCTAATTATAGAAAAAAAACTTTGCATCACATGGTTTGTATTTTTGGGAGCAGTTGGCAACATTTTGTAGATAAAGTTTGGGTATTAATGCCAGTAATTTAAGGAACAAACACAGCACTGTGTCACATAATCAATAACTGTATAAAACAGAGTTGTCTCAAACCTACATATGTAAGTAAAAAATACTGTAAATAACACCTACATGCCATCATCTGGTACATAATTTTTGTTGTGCATATATCTTTATGATGTTAGTATCTCATCAAAAGGGAATTAAAAAAAAAACCATGATATAAGCTTATAACGTTACGAAGTATCTGCGATGAACTGCAAACACACATTACACATATTGAAATATGTTTCCCTCTGAAATGAATTTTTTTTTCTTTTAAATTTGTCAGTCAGCCATTTTATATATCTCCACTTTTATCTTATGCTAAGTTTAAAATTCAAACTAGAACCTAAGTTACATTAAGTAATGTAATATTCAACTGTATGGAAAAGACCGTGTATACAAAAATGTATGACCACTGTACGCAATGAAATAGAAAGAAACTTTGAACAAACTAATCCTTGGCTTCCGATCCTGACGTATTGACTTATATATTAAAGATATCAGGGGAGAATTCAATCAATATCTGCTGGTTCTACCCTACAGCACTATCAGAGAGGACTGTGCTATCTTATCTCTGCCCTTCAGGTTTTGGCTGGAGGGGTTTCAAGTTATCCATACTGTCTCTGCTGCCAAGTATTACCTATATTAGTCCCTACCCAACATCATTTTAGGGAAGGGGGTCAACATTACTCATCATGTCCCTCCTCAACAGCACTTTAAGGAAGAGGGTCCATACTTTGTCCAGAATCACTTTGCCATATTACTCATGATGCTCAAACTTTAAATCACTTTCAAGGAAGTAATTCACATTATCCATACTGTCCCTACAGTCCATCACTTTGAGTAAGTTAGGCATTAACCATGGTATCCTTAGCCAACAGCACCAAATTGGAGAAGTTTTGGTTGCTGGTTTGCTGGGTTTGCACACTGAAGAATCTAGCAGGACAGGGTTATAATTACTCATGCCATCACATCCTGCAGGCCTTTCACGGAGAAGGTTCAAACCCTGGGCTATCAGGGAATTGGTTAAAAAGCACCCATGTCAAATCTGCCCTGAGCACAACCTTGTGAAAAGAGGTTCAAAGTGCCTGTTGCTTGCTGCAATATCTTGAGAAAGGGAGTTCAAACTACTTAAGTTTCACCAGCTAACAGAGCATTGAGGCTGGAGACACAAATTATACGTCGTATCTGTTTTACAATATATCTTACAAATTGCTTGTACTAGCCATAAGAGATTTAAAATAAAAGAGCCTTGAAGCTGCCAGTCTAAGCATGTTTATCTCATTTCATTTTCTGTCTTTAGACCTGACCAAACCCATTTGAAATCAATAATCAGATGATTCAGGCAACATTTTGATAATCAAAGTTTCAATGGGTTTTAAAGACAGAATTTAAATGTTTCGGTGGACGACAACCTCTCCTACTTAAGTAAATACATAGAAAAAGGAGAGATTTGCCTTCATTAACTTTTATTTGCTGTTTTTGAAATTTGTCAATAAGCCTGTAGATTTATAATACAGCAAATAAGCATTTACATTTCAAAGTTGTCTGTTTGTAACAATGAAGAGTGCTGCTTAATAAATTATTTCAGAATATCGACCAATGTTAACATCTTCATGACCTGTACAGTTAGAGAGTATCTACAAACTCAGACTGTATAATCATCACTTATATCATTGAATCATTCAGAATAAATGGAAGAATGCCAAACAGACATTTGTTTCCAAGCAGCAAAATATTTCAAGATATGAAATTTGGTTGCCCTCAGTCAAGAAACTATGCAAAATCTGTCAGATTGTATATAGTAACGGTGCAAGCCATACATCATAACCTGGTAATATCAAACATTTCTCGTATTTGTAAATAACATTAAATGATGAGATTCAGATATTTAAAATCCATCACTAGTTTATATTTCTCACAACTTTAATTTATTTTCCCAGTTTTACCAATAAATCAAGATCTGAAATTCCTAGCCTGATACTAATAGTCTCTAATTGACAGAGCTCAGCCTTTTCTCCGAAACATCATTACTTAGCAATGTCTTATATTGATTTTCTTTTCAAGATATGTTATTGTGGATTTACTATCCAATAATGACTGAAGCATAGCTTTTTTACTCTTGTCTTCATATTATTGACAATAACTTTTTGGTATGATTTTAATATTCTAAACATCAAAGAAAGGCATAATTTCCTTTTTTCGAAAAAAGAGAGAGGAGATTTCCATACAAAATCAAAATGCTAAAAAATAAAGGGAGATTACTCCTTCAAAAATTGCTGAATCAAACTGATGCTATGGAAAACACCACTTCATCTCATGGTGATTTAGGCCTACAAATGAAAACTAGGATATATGATCTTTGGACAAGATTAGCATTATGTAAACAAAAAGGCCTGTAATTGTAATATACTAAACCAAATATAGTCAAATCAAACTGCCATTCAGGAAAGCACAATTTTGTGTCATAATATGATGCCTACTAAGATTAAATACATTGGTTGTAAACTGTGTGAAGGAAAACATTGTTTCATCTCATCATGATTTAAGTCTACAAATGAAAACTGAGAGAAATGATTTTTGGGCAAGGTTAACAGCAGACCATCAAAGCTACAATTATCAATTACTTCTGTGGTTAAGGGATGCAAGGTAGGAAAGGCGAGACTTAACATGACACTGAAACACTCCAAGGATGAGAAAGTCCGGCAGGCAGACACTCATGTAAAGACAGGGAGGAAGTGGTCAGCAAGTAAGATATGCTGTAGATGATACTGAGAACAGGCTCAGATGCAAAGACATAGCAGGGACAGTTTGCTGCAGAAGATAGGGTCTGGGAACCACTCACAGACAACAATGGAAATCTAACACATCTAAGAATATAGAGAGAAAAGGGGATCAGTGCAGTGTGAGATCAGGAGGAGGAGAAAGCAGTACAAAAGCAGTGGAGATTGGCTGCCATGGTGCATGAACAAGATATGACACAGAGGACAGACAGCTTACATGGAAGGACATCTAGCAATGTCCATCATTTCAGATGAAGGTCCTCCTGCGTTCAGTTTATGACATCTTACCATCACCGGCCAATCTCCACATGTGGGGATTAGTGCCAGACCCGGCATGTGCACTGTATGGCAAAAGAGAGACCTTGGACCATGTGCCGACGAGCTGCCAAATGACACGAAGTCAGGGCTATTACTATGGAGACATAATGAAGTACTCCTTGAGCTTGCAGATACCTTGGAAAAGGAAAGTAAGGCCAAGAGGAAAGTTGACAAACAGAAGGCTTTTACCATAAACTTTGTGAAGGAAGGACAGAGTACTCCAGCACTGGGAACCAACAGGAAAGGAGGACTACTGGAAATGTCAGACAAGTGGACAATGGATGTGGATTTGAATCGTCTTTTCCTGACATTGTCCACACAAATCTCAGACCTGACATGGTATGGTGGTCCAAGGAGAGGGAGAAGTTGATACTGGTAGAGATGACTGTGAAGATGTGGACAAGACAATGAGAGGAAACATGCCAAGTACAAGGACCTGTTAACAGAGTGTCAGGAGCAGGGATGACAGACATGGAACTTCCCTGTGGAAGTTGGGTGCAGGGGTTTCCCAGCACAATCAGCGTGGATAATGTTCAGCACACTAGGAGTTTGGGGGAAGGAGAGGAAAGGAGTAGTACAGGGTCTCATCCAAACAACTGAACGTGCCTACATTTGGCTGTGGATGAAGAAAGAGGATAGCACCTGGAAGCCAACCGTTGGAGCATGTGACTGATCACCACTATGGACCCACCATACAGAGAGTGTTCTGAGTTAGGGGTTGAAACGTTCAGTGAAAGAGGACTCAGCTGACAACTCCAATGGAATCGGCATCTGTACTATATAAGTTTCATTATGGATACAACAAAGTGCCGTAATCATAATACACTCATCCAAATAGAGTCAAATCAAACAACCATTCAGGCATGCACAACTTTGTGTCATGGTGATGATACCAGCTAACCATGAAATACGTTGGTTGTAAACTGTGGGAGGAAATAAAATATGTGAAAGTTTATGTCAGATGGATGGACAACACTATACTGTAATACATCCAATCAAAATTTTTGACAGGAGTATAAAAAATGTTGCTATTATAGTCCCCAAAAACTTGATACCAAATCCTTCCACATGCAGATCCCAGTTAAGTTGTCAATGATGAAACTGTGTGCCCCCAAAGCTCCATGCTCAATCCTTAATTACTTAAATGACTACCTGTTGATGTCATATCAGAGGATCATTGTAATTTAGTATAAATATCAAACCTAAGAGTACCCATTGTTATTTTTATTGGTAGATATCTTTACACTGACAAAATAAAAACATCCAGTACAAATTGTTCATACTTACTTTCCTGGCTAGAGGCATGTTTAACTCCGTGCACATGCTGTTTAAACTTTTCAATATTCTTTTTTCCCAATTTTGCTGCAAGAATAAAATAGTTAAGTAAGTTCAACCTTAAAAAGCTTAGTAAATACCAAAACTTAGGTACTTTCTACATAACAAAAAAAATCTGAGTTTTGGTGGTAATGTTGGGGGAGGGAGGCGATAATAAAAATCTGAAATCAAAAGCAAACAGTATTTATATGGCATTCCCTAACTTTAGACTGATCTTTTTTACATACATGTATCATTAAAGCATATTAAAACAAAGTGTAACAGGAAACCATTTGTTTGAAGTTTCTAAATAATATCCTATTAAATAATAACAATTTGAATAACCAATTTCTGAAATGAATTTCTTGATGATCTGTCAAAATCAGTGTAGATCTGATGTTGAATTTCTAATGGTGTCTTGTATGGTAATGTGCAAAACAATTCTTAGCTTTAAAAAGAAAACAAATCATAATTCTATTTCTGTAAAGAGTGAGATGACAAACAAAGCAAAGTACTGTTAATTCATCCATGGAGTGTATATACTTTCTGGTATAACATAGGTAACTGGCATGCACTGAATGATAAAAGACATCTTTCTGTTTCCCATGTAAACATAACACATATTCCATGTCCATGCCCAATATGTTGAAATAGACATTTATCATGTTAACATAACACATATTCCATGTCCATGCCCAATATGTTGAAATAGACATTTATCATGTAAACATAACACATATTCCATGTCCATGCCCAATATGTTGAAATAGACATTTATCATGTTAACATAACACATATTTCATGTCCATGCCCAATATGTAGAAATAGTCATTTCTCATATTAACATAACACATATTCCATGTCCATGCCCAATATGTTGAAATAGACATTTATCATGTTAACATAACACATATTCCATGTCCATGCCCAATATGTTGAAATAGACATTTATCATGTTAACATAACACAAAGTCCATGTCCATGCCCAATATGTTGAAATAGACATTTCTCATGTTAACATAACACATAGTCCACGTCCATTCCCAATATGTTGAAAAAGACAATGATTTTTTCTCTTGTATGGTGTATTATGATGTAATTCAAAATTCACATGAAGAGAATGGGACAGAACAAATGGCCATTTGTTTTTCATTACAGTATATTAGTGTAACCCTGGTAAAATACTAGCCGCAATATACCATTCGGCTAGAGAGAACTTCTCTTTAGCTCGATTGGTTGAGCATCAGACTAGTAAGCCAGGGGTCCCGGGTTCGATTCCTAGCAGAGGCATTGAGATGAAAAATGACCTCTGTTACATTGGCGCCCATGTAGGGACCCGGGAATAGTACTTAGTCATGCCCCATCAGCATCTCTGTAACCCCTGGAAACTCGAGGACGAGTTATTTCCTGGAGGGGGAGTATGTAACCCTGGTAAAATACTAGCCGCAACATACCATTCGGCTAGAGAGAACTTCTCTTTAGCTCAATTGGTTGAGCGTCAGACTAGTAAGCCAGGGGTCCCGGATTTGATTCCTAGCAAAGGCATTGAGATGAAAAATGACCTCTGTTACATTAGAATAGCACAAATTTTGTGATTATACAATAAGCATATCAGTATATATTTGTAGAAAACATAGAATGACACCCCCAGCTAATCTGTAAATACTGCTCTTCATTTTACTAAGAAAATCTCATCATCTGTACCTTCTGATATTCATTTCAATTCTAAAAGAGAATTTTCTCTTATTTCACTTTTGATTACAGGAACAAATTGCGACAGAAATTGGATGAAATCTCTTGAAGTTGAGATCTAAATAGTATTGTGGTGCTATAAGAAAGGTGATAAACAGCATAACAGTTGAAGTACTTACCTGTGCTTTTCTAAGGTATAACAAGGGTTCTTTCAAATGCTCAACAGGAGGAAGAGGATATGGTATCTTTGGGTGACATTGAATATATTTGAATATTGCATTCCTCAGCTTCCTGTCCCACCCTTGAAAAAAAACCAATAACAATTAGAGATGCTATTCCCTCTTCACTGAAATTTTATGCAGAGTTCACAAAAAAAATATTCATGTTGTTTATCTATATTGTTTTATTTACTAAAAGATAAATAATGTTCATATGAAGTAAAAACTGACAATTTTTTTTCACACTTACCCGAGTTGACAAGACCTGTTTGAACACCTTTCCTCACATCAGATAATCTAAGGTGTGTTTTTGCTACTTCTACCTGTGTAGGTGAAAATGAAAACAAATGCATGTTTAGTGTCGATGATTTTATCATTACATTCCCAACCGCCCATCAACACATAAAAGGTCATTAGAAAAAAAGAAAGAAAACATTAAATAGTTACAACATATCTTTGGATAAAGGCATAAAAAATAGAATTATTTTCCAGTTAATGAAAACGAATCACTGAAATGATTGTTTTTTACAAATTGTCATTATATCAATCATGTATATTTGAATATTACTCAAATTACTAGAGTTGTTAATCTTAAAATGATCACTTTATTGTCAAAAACAAAAAGACTGTGAAGAGGGCATTTTTCATACATGAACAGACTACACTTATACAAAGTACATGTGTAATGTACCCAACATTAATTACAGTTGCATATAAGGTTATACAAATGGCTGAAAAAAAAAGTAAAAGATAGATATACTTCAGTGGTTGGATTGTTTTAAATTACAATTTATATAAAAATAACATGCATTACTTGAAGTGTGTTCTGAATTAAAAGAGTTAACTCATTTTTACTCTCTTTGATTCAGTTACATTGTAGATGACCCTATTTGGGCAATTGTATACTGTCTGTATATGAGCAGATCATCACATTATTTTAAGGTGGAATATTGTGACTGGAGCAGCCATCGTCAATGGAAAGATTTTACAACATCCATGGACATTTCTGTGTTGGATGTTGTTTGAAGTACTTCTGAGAAATTTAGTGGATATCAGTTCACTATTTTTGGTGACTAAGCAATTTACATAAGTGATTGTAAACAATAATATGGTAAGAGCGTGCTTGTTAATAGGAGTTGTGTGTGACGTGTATTTGGGAGATATGTTTATATCTATAGATATGCGGGTATTCAAAGATGTACACAGTGTAATAAAGTCTTGTAGACATTGTATATTTGACGTTTGAGCCATTCTTATATCAGCGATGCCAGTCGTACTTGTCTAGGTTACAATTTTGTTGGCAGTGGTGTGATAGGCGACTTTGCATATAACAAACTCTGAATATATATTCCTGTATTTTAATGTTTACAAAATTGATTATCCTTAGTCAGGAATTAGAATATTTATTAATATTTACAGGTACGGTTCTTACATCACCTATTTGTTTGTGAATGACACATGCGTACACATGTAAGACTACGCATAAAAGATGCACTACATTGCAATTTGATATATTTGATATTTTACAAGTGTAGTGGCCGTGTGGCGAACTTCTGTATAAAATAGCACAGCTACACGCCCCTTACCTGTGCTGCATTCTGTAAGTCAGTGTACAATTTTGATGACTTTAATTCATGTATCAGCTCCTTCATATAAGCTTGTGCCAAAGGCGGTTCTCCCATCTTGGTTGAAAAGGATATGCCAAGCTAAAGGGTACTCGGATAGGCTACCAAGAAGGCCTATGGAGTCCTTAGCAACAGGATAAACCGTTGGCTGAAAGATACTAGAATCTGACACGCATAACTCAAGTTCTAGTATATTTCAACTATATAATAAATATATTACTACTTTATATTAACAACTGAACGACGTAGTATTCTGAATCTAGCCCGCAAGCACATCGGTCATATTGAAACATATCCAGATTTTCCATCCGATAAAATTTCCTTCTAAGGTAGGAGAGTTATCTAACAGGGGAGGTAACATTGAATAAAAATGCGCCACAGCACACTCCGCGGGAACTTGGAGTAAACTTGTCAGTTTGGACAACATACAGATCATACGACTGAATAAGCTTTTTATCAATATTAGATCCGCTCACAATTATAGCTAAAGTTTTAATCAAAATGACGTGGACATGTTTATTGCATTTTAAGGGTTCACGACGATTTATGGCTGTGTCGCGTGGATGTTGAATCAATTTGAAATGAAATAGCAGTCAGGACCCTTCAGACTAGATTTGTTTGATATCCAAGTTCCACGCCTAACATAAACGTTAACACACACATAACTCTCAAACACCTGACAAAGCGATTTTCTGGGTATAATTTCAAAGAGGTGGTCTACTAGTATATCTTAAAAGAACGCATTTCATTTTCCATTCACACAATGATTACAAATTTCAAAAGTATCGACTGTCTCTATCTGCGCTGGCCATTTCCTTTCAGGTATGGCTGGTAGCATACATCAGAGAATTCTTCCCCTGAAAAGTACAATATTAAATGCAAGCATACCATCTACGTTTCGCCATCCTGATCAAGAAAATATGTTGTTTAAATACCAATAGAAATACGAGATAAACCTGTTTACAGCACAGCTTTTCAACTTGAAATACGTGTACGAATCTACATACATGGAGCAATCATGGGGTCTTGGTGCGAATTCCCAAACCACTGTCTATATATATTTGTATAAGTATTATAGTGACATACTGAATAGATGGATTGTGGATTGGAAATTCATGCCAAGTCCCTGTAGGGGCTAAAGGATGAAGCTAACGCCCTGACCGCATTATACGAGGTACGAACTTGTAGGCAATGCACATTATACAAAACAAAGTAACACGTGAAACTAAACTGTTTATAAGATGTAAAAAAGAAAACTGCATCACAAAATTGTTTCTCATTTTAAGAACTCATCTAGAAATGTTCGGAACCAAAAGTGTGAAAAATCCTGAATATGACTTTGAAATATGCGACACTTTGCAAAACCATCAAAATTTCCATTTTCGTTTCGAATCAATTTCAAAGCAAATTTATTTTGTTCACCTTAAAAGTTTTGTTTTTTTACCAAATGTGGCAGTTAAGTTGGAAAAGCATATCACAGTAGGCGCATTACTGTAGGCACAACAAATGATTTATTTACAAATAATAAACATCGCCTTTTCAATTGAACTGAATATTCAACAGGAAAGCGTTCACTTAACGATAGCACGCGATACTCTCTAACAGAAGTACTGCGACGCTAAGTATCACCGACTAAGCCATCATCTTTATTGATCATAACAAACACCGGTTAGTGTCATGGGGCCCATATTCTACGCTACATAATTAGTTGTGTCGCCTAATGCGACACTATTGGTTGATGAGGTAGGACGCCAACGTCGCACTGGGTATACGTTAGTATACCTATATGACACTTAGGCATCTAAATATAAATTTCATTTTCTAAAGATGGGAGTGTGAGTGATGCCGTTGTCCAATCATGCAACCGTGTTTAAGTCGCAGAGCGATGTAATTTCGTGAATAACATTTTAGACTTTGAAATGTAGACATCTAAATCATAGCATGCGTAGCTCCCATTACATACATACATACCTACCTACCTACATACATACATACATATTGTATACAAAAAATAGATTTTGGTTCACATTTGAAGTGAAAGTTATTTATGAAAGTCACCTTAAACTAGTCAAAAAACGTTGTATCGATCTTATAATGAGTTTAACGGTCGTCATTTTGACCTCATTGGGAAGTGTGATATTTCTTTGTTTGATACGAGACTTGGATGTGCTTAATGTTAGTAAGTATGTCTGGCAGTTCGTAGTTGTTAATATTTTATCATCTTCAATGGAAACGGGTGTCGTCAATGAAGCAGAGGACGCTTACTTTTCTGGAACACCTGGTCTTATCATTTTTGTACTTTTTAAAGACTCTCCGTGTAAAAGTTTCACTTGTTGGTATTTTGCGCTTGTTTTATTGAATTAAGAGTCTGGACTGAGATTCTGTTGACATGTTGTTGTTTATATTCTCGGAGCAAAGCTGGATCAGACAGGTAAGTCGACATCAGCTTTATAATAAGTACTGTTGAGGTGCTCACTAAGCGTGATTCTAAAAGAAATTTTACCATAGAAATCTCAAAAGAGAACTTAAATTTCATAAATCATTGTTTGTCAAAGATTTTTACAAATATATATCCGATATCATTTAAGACTTTTTGCAATAGATTCTGTAAACAAATCTCCAGTTTTTTTAATTCGTGTTTTTTACTTGTAGATAATACAGGCAAATCTCGAATTTTTATTTCAGACTTATAACAACATTAATACAAAGTTATTTTTATTCGATTTTTTACTTTGGGCTTGCATTATATACAATTACCAACAATTATGTAATATCAATAAACAGGAAGTGTAGTACAATGTCAGTGAAACTGACTAGTTCATTTAAAATAGCCGGAATATATTTGACACCAATTCATGGAATATATCCTTCTTGCATGCACGTGTTTTGGATAGAAGAAATACAGACCATTTGGCCATACTTATATCAACCAGTGCAACACAAGTCAATGTGTAATAAGAATAATTATTATGCCAAAGGCACTGGTAAAACACTCGCCTTTCACCTAGCCGGGGTCCGATTCCCGGAATGGGTGTGAAAACCTGCCCGACCACGTGGGTTTTCCCCGGGTACTCCGGTTTCCTGCCGCGCACTTCCATCCGAGCCAACAAGAGTAATTAATATAAGTTGGTAAAACTTTCTTCGCAATTGTTGTAAAATGAATAAAGTTTATTATAAATTTAATTTTCATTGGTAACACAATCACCTATCTTTCATGTAGAATGAGTCAAATTACCGTACAATGCAACTACATGTATAACCAATAGTTCATATAACCAGTTTGATGCAGGGAGCATTAATCATTATTGTAATTTTGTATTTATATAAATAATTCATGTTACACTTAAGATTAATCACGTGTAGTTTTTTTTTTTTTTTTTTTTCTGGCCGGGAGCTCTTATTGGCCAGGAAACATTAATATTTATGTTGAATTCTTATGGATTTGGGTTCGTAATATGATCACGTTTTCATTGCACAAGGCATCATCGTTTTTCAGGTGTGGGGTGGGGGAGGTGAATATGTGTTGTTGATGACATAACTGAGAAAATTAGACAATGCTTTGAAGTAATCCCCACACCATTTCTTTGGCATGATGAAAAAGGCCAGATCCATCGTACTTTAATGGCAATCATATGCTTGTTGTAAAGATAGCGTGGAACCATTCCTTCGTGTTATCAGCGATTCAATAATGATGAAGTCAGTTTTAATTGTGAGAAGTAGCATCACACACAGAAGGCTACTTTCAGCCTTGGTTCTGTAAATCATTACGACATGTTTATCAGTGTAATCGAAAGTAACCTTTTATCATTTACGGTACAGTACATTTAGCACTAATCCTAAGGAAACGCCGTAAAAGGGAAATTGTTTTTTGATTAAGTGTGTTATTACAACAACGGATGCATTATGTAGTAATTTACTGTTATTAGTCTTAATTTTAGATAAATTGTGACCGGCCGGTCACTGTAACGGATGCTTTCTAATGGTAGGTCTCGGAGACCATTGTTTAATCCCCGTACCTGTTCTCTCTCAAATACATGTATTATCTAAACCCATTAACCTCACCACACCTGACTGATAAAATGAATTCGGTCCATGTAATTAGATGATTAATGTTGATTTCGTGTCTGATCTCGACCGTACTTTTGAATTTTGACATTTGTTTGACAACCGTTTTTGCTATTTCTCAAGTATTCGTGATAAATGGTGGACTGTTCCCGTTGGTATTGTGTATGTTTGTCAGGCATCGTGATAAACACGTGATTTTATTTCACTGATAACAATGTTATATTACCTTGTCAATATATACATTATTATCTGTCACTGAAGTCTACGTTATTGAAACATACATTGATTATTGTCTTCAATTCTTTTTGTCTTGCATAAAACTATTTATACGTTAAAGAATATAACCTGATATGAATTGAGTATTGTTTGATAACTTTTGTGTAAAATTACTATCATTCGACTGGTTCCAGTGCTTAATTTTCTTCATAATTTCTGTTACTTGTTAAAGTTATAAAGACATGAAGACGACACGTCTGATTTTTTTATTCTACTTTTTATTGTACTTTAATACCATTTGTGAACTTGGGTTGCATATTTTGCTTCGAGTGAATTCATACCACATAAAAACACGGAAGAGACGGATGTAAGTTAGACATGTATGTATATTCTATACAAATCGCAGTGTGTTTCATTCCGTGTTACAACGAGATAGTAAATAACCCATGTTCTAAAGTTCTCGTCTCTGCCAAAGATCGTTTGGATGTCACATTAAGCGTCAGCTCATGTGAGTTTTCTTTGTAAATTAATCAGATATCATAATCTTATATCTTCCGCACCTGCTGTATTCCATACTCTTAAGCAGTTTCCCTCACTTTCTTTGCTCTTTTCATTTTTCAAATGGCCATATTTACCGAATAGTTTGTATTTATGTGTCTGCTACATGTAGCATATCTGAACAAACTCTTTTAAAAACGATGTACACGAGGATCTATTAATGAAAGTCAAATATCTAAACCCGCAAAAATATTAAGATTTTATTTAAAATAACCTTTCTTCGTCATAGTCTATTTGATTTCCTGACCTGTTAAGAATAGTTCTAACAAAACCACGTTAATGTACGTCTTTAAATATTTTCCTCAAAACACGTTGAATGATAACTATGACGTATGTCTGTCTGGAACCCTGAACACAAATTTCGAATCGCAATACTGATAATTGCATTGCTTCTTGTGGAAAAAAACAGATGATACCA